ATTTGTATATATATATATATATTTGTATATTTATATGCAATTATATATATATATATAATATATCATATATATATATATATATGTATATGTACATAATGGGTATGATAGTTTTGTTTGCCAGTCATCGACTCCGCATCTTTTTGGTTGATCCCTCTGAGGTCCATCTTTGGAGGTGCGGCGGCCGATCAGGGTCTGGTGATGACGTTTACCAATGGCGATTGAATGTGGCACTTAGGTTGATGCAGATAATATACGATATATGAGTATGTATATATATATATATACAATTATATAAACTTATAATTAATCTAATATAGCTATATAATGTTGTATAATTATATAGTCGGATATACACAAACCCACAATTGCCAAACACATCCTCAAATTCCGAAGTGGTAAAGTTTTACTGGTCCGATTTCTTGCAATGTAGAACTCTTGAATGGTTGGGTGACTTTGAATATGTGTTGTTTTCCATCCCTACATCAGACTATGGATATGACGAACCAAGCATGAAAGATATCACCAACAATCGTCTAAAAAATGGTTGTTCGGCTTTCTGTTGGTTTACTATATAATACTATATATATATACACAATATATCTGACAATTTCAAGTTGAACCCCCCATACAGATGAAACTCACTGAATACCCACATTTTGCAGGATCTATAACGATATCCTTTCGATGGTTTCATCCCGAGTCATACAATGAAGGTGCTCCTTGGTGGCAACGGCACTTGACGGTTCATCCTATTTGGACAGATCCAAATCAGTGGACCCTACGCCAACGAAATCCAATGAGATCCAGGTACAATGAAGCACTTCGTTTTGGTACTTTTGTTACCAAATCAGATAAATGGGATCCATAGAACCCCATAGTATGCCCATAGCTTGAACCTTCCCGTGCAGGTGGTTCCGCCAAATCTCAGCGGGCAGAAAGGGTGAGGCCCCAACGAAAGCAGCAGGCTTGGGGTGCAAAAGGGATGGGGTCCAAGAATGGGTTATACCGGTTATATCCTCAAGTTGTAGTTTTAATGTGGACTTGCTATGACTTGTTCTTGCTGGCGAAGTGACTTTGGCTGAAACCCAGTTTTTGGTGCAATGATTCTTTTTGCTGGTCAGATCATGCCAAGTCTTGATTGTTTGGTTAGTTCTATCCAAAATTCAGTTGCTTTAAACCTTGAGCAACCAGCTTGCGCTTACAAAGACGTGATCCAACTCAGTTTTAGAGATAATGAGATCACTCATTTTAAAACCTACATATGTTTTTTGCCCCGAGTAGGCAACTGACAGTTTCGTGTCATAAGCTGTTTCAGAGCTGCTTTTCTTGAGTAGCTTGAAGGAACCTCTCGTTGATCAGGCCGTTAATTTATTCCCGAAAGAAAGTGGGGCTCAAATTGAACCCCCCAAAAAATATCGTCAAACAATGTGCAATAATGTTGTTAGTATATACATATAAAATATGTCATAAGCATACATCAGCTGACAATTTTTGTCAGTCAACTGGTGCACCTTTTTTAGCCATGTATAGTCATGTGGATCATGGCGATGATATTGGACGGGCCAAGATGCAATCGACAATGGCTGATTCATGTGGAAGCAATGATGGCCCCGATGAGTTGCAAAGCTAGACATCTTTCGAGTGGTGGGTTGAAATTTCAAAATCACTTCAACTCGCAAATTTGGGATTGTCCAATCGCAAGTTTTGCGAACAATCCCAAGTTCTTGTTCTTGTTCTTGTTCTTGCTGCTGTTGTTGTTGTTGTTGCTGTTGTTGCTGCTGTTGTTGTTGTTGTTGTTGCTGTTGCTGCTGTTGCTGCTGCTGCTGCTGCTGCTGCTGTTGTGGTCGTTGGCGTTGGCGTTGTCGTTGTCGTCGTTGTTGTTGTTGTTGCTGCTGATGTTGTTGTTGTGTTGTTGCGATGTATTGCTGCTGTTGCTGCTGATGCTGCTGTTGGTGGTCGTTGGCGTTGGCGTTGTCGTTGTCGTCGGCGTTGTTGTTGTTGTTGTTGTGATGCTGCGTTGTGTTGTTGTTGCTGTTCTGCTATGTTGATGTTGTGACTGCTCTGTTGTGGATCGTTGGCGTGGGAGTTGTCCGTTGTCGTTGTCGTCGCGGTGTGTTGTTGCAGTTGTGTTGTTGTTGTTGTTGCTGCTGCTGTGTGGTTGATTGTTGGTTGCGTTGCTGCTGCTGCTGCGGCACTGCTGTTGTGGTCGTTGGCGTTGGCGTTGTCGTTGTCGTTGTCGTCGTCGTTGTGGTTGTTGTTGTTGTTGTTGTTGCTGTTGTTGCTGTTGTTGTTGTTGTTGTTGCCGTTGTTGTTGTTGTTGTTGTTGTTGTTGTTGTTGTTGTTGTTGTTGTTGTTGTTGTTGTTGTTGTTGTTGGCAAGATCATCATGTGCTGGTAGAATTATGACCTGCCAGCCATGGGAGCTTGGGGCTGGGCTCAGGTGGAAGATCAATTGGACCGACAACGCTGGGAGCAGATGCAGGCGGCCACATCGCTGCCATTTGTTTCCCCCTTCAACTGACATTTTGGAAAATAATGGTTGCTAACAGGTTTTTGACAAAACCAGGTATTTGGGGCCCTCGTATTTGGTCATGCGGGTGTTTTTGCCACGGACATGCAGCCGGGGTTAATGACTTCTGTCATTTCACAGTGTGACATTGCTAAGCGTGGCCACACCCAAACCTGAAAACCCTAAAATGGCATTCTTTTCTGGGATTTGCGGAAATTTTGCAGAATTTTGCGTATGCTTTCGCCCGAAGTTTCCAGCATTTTGGTCAGTTTTCTGTTTGCGCATTTCAACCCTCAGACATTGAAATTGACACCCGAACAAAAGCGTGTACCAGAATTGCGGGGAAACATCAGGTTCGAAGTTTCAATGCTTTCTTTTTCTGGGGGGGGACACTTGGCGACAGGAGTGATTCAATTACCCACAGAGAACAGCTGAACCCCCAAAAAACCATACAGGGCCCTGACAGACAACTGCGCGCCAGGGGCGGAAAGATGCCCAGGCGCAACAGTGCCAGCACCCAGAGATGAAATGGATGACTGACTGCTTTCATGGTCAGGATTTTTTGGTTTGCTTTGCCTTTCAAACCTTCACACCCATTACGAACATGTGTTTGTGAAGCAACGAAGTACCTGGACAGTACCTGGACAGTACCTGGACAGTACCGTGTGGATTTTCTGTGGAGGATTCACATATGACATCGTCATGGGTGATCGCAGGTCTCAGGCTCCACCCGAAGCATGACCCAACTTTTGACAGTGCACATCAGGCACCAGATGCAAAAAGAAAATGAAAGAAACAAAATATTGATCCCTTGGATTCAACCATCGCATGTGAGCTTTGGACGTCTGAGGTGTCCGGTCCAGTGAACCGTTTTTCGCAGGCGCTTGCGCGGAAGACGGCAATGCCAGGGCAATGTTTTAGACATGTGGAGGACCCATGGAGAACAAAGAACGCCCCAACACACAAGAACGTTTTGGCAAACACGCACGAAAGCACTGTCTCCTGAAATGGCCAAGTAGAAGCAAACGACCCAGTTTATGTCACCGGTCATGTTATTGTAAGAAAATGATCCACAAACGAAAGTCTCAGAACAGACTGGAAGGAACCTGTAACTAAGTAATACCAGTACAGAGTAATACTAAGTACAATATTATGGCGCTGCATAAATATGAAAAACATGGTATAGTCCAGTCAAGAATCTCAATGAATCACAAGCCCCCTAATAACGTTCGTGTTCAACTGCTGTGGATTTGTTTCAGTCTTGCCCCACCTGACCCCGTGTTTTGGTACCTGCAATTACGGTCATTGGTTACCTCTTGGCAGCCAGGTGGCCGGCAACCCGAAGACAATGGTTTACCGTCCTACCAGAGACCAATGGTTTACCGAAAAAATGCGGCGTGGCATCGGGTTTCTGATTTTTTTTGGGGTATTTGAGAACAGGAATTACAAGTGGAGCAGGAGGGTGCCAAAGCCATTGGTTGCTGCTTAGCAGGGGCACCTTCCAGTTTGAAAATGTCCATGGCCAAGGTGACTTTCAATGCCAAGGGTGACCCTTTAGATCAAACAATTTGCTCAATGTATGAATGGTTCGGTTGACTCAACAATTTGTACTCGCTTCGGACCCCGAAGTTGGTCCTACAGATGGGAGATTTTTTGGGGAAAGAGCGGGGTACTATATCATTGGGGGGGAGGGGGGAGGGTACCGAACTGGGAACCGGGACATCTATATATGTATATATGTCTATCTATTCTCAATGAACAATCATTTTAGATCCCTACCAACCGAGCTGGGTGGCCCCTGGGGGCCCTTGGGGGTTCCCGGAAGCACCGTGTTCCGCGTGTTCCGCATCCTTTGTGCTTCACAGCGGTTGACCGGGTCCCAGGTGCCCTGGGGTCCCGTGGGTGCCATGCGGCTCTTCGTCCGTGATGTCGTTGGGCAGACGCTCTCCTTGCAGGTGGAGGGACAGGTGCGGGATCGAGGGATCTGTCCGAGGGATGGCCACGTTGGAAAACCAGTTCTGTAAGAATTATGCAATTATAATATATATCCGCCGACCCCGGCAGACGCAAGGGGGAGCGCGCCAGGGAATAAGACAAGCAAAGACAAGCACAGCCAGTACTATATATATATATTATAGTCTAGGATTCTCTAGCAGCAGACAAGCAAAGACAAGCACAGCCAGTACTATATATATTATAGCCTAGGATTTTCTTGCAGCAGCAGCAGCATAGCAGAACAGCAGAAGTCAAATAAGCTTTCTAGTAGGATTTCAGAAGGGACGTTCCGGCCTCCGGGGAGCTTGTTATTGCGGATGATTTCGCGTCATTTTTGGCACGAAATTAGGTGGTGTTTTGCTGTTTCGAGTGGGTTTCGAAAAAGATGTCTGGCTGTTGGTTTCTTGCCTTGGAGGTTGGTTCATGGCACGGCAGCAGCAGCAGCAGCATCAGCAGATGCGAGCACCAGCATCACCACCACCAGAAGCAGCAGCAGCAGATGCAGCTGCAATCCAGCAGCAGGAACAGCAAGAGCAGCAGCAGCAGCAGGAACAGGAGGCCCAGCAGCCACCAGCAGCAGCAGCATGGCAGACCAGCAGAAGTCAAATCCGCCGACCCCGGCCGACGGCAAGGGGGAGCGCGTCAGGGCAGAGAGTTTTTTTGAAGCCAGCAGCAGTAGCAGCAGCAGGGACAAACAGGTTGCCTCTGAGCAGCCGCAGCAATGGAAGCAGCGGGAGCAGCTAGCAGCAAGCTAGAAGCAGCCAGCAAGAGGAGCAGCAGCAGCTAGCAGTCAGCGAGGAGCAGCCAGCAGCTTTTAAAAAGGTGGCAGCAGCAGCAGCAGCAGCCATCAGCTCTTAAAAGGTGGTACAAGCGCAGCAATGGAAGCAGCGGGAGCAGCTAGCAGCAAGCTAGAAGCAGCCAGCAAGAGGAGCGGCAGCAGCTAGCAGTCAGCGAGGAGCAGCCAGCAGTTTTTTAAAAGGTGGCAGCAGCAGCAGCCAGCAGCGCTTAAAAGGTGCTACAAAAAACCAGAAGGCCATGTGGACACAGTTGTCAAGAGCTGCCAAGAGCTGGAAATTTGTGTTTTTTTAACTAGGGTTTCAGAAGGGACGTCAAGCCCCGGGGCAACGTGTTTTTGGAAGTCGTTCCGTCTTTCAGTGGCATGGTGTTTCGGTGTGGCGAAGGGTACGTTTTGGAGGCCTACAGCAGCAGCAGTTGCTTTGTTTTTAACAGGATCCAGAAGGGACGTCAAGCCCCGGGGCAACGTGTTTTTGGACGTCGTTCAGTCCTTCAGTGGCATGGTGTTTCGGTGTGGCCAAGGGTACGTTTTGGAGGCCTGCAGCAGCAGGAGTTGCTTTGTTTTGAACAGGATCCAGAAGGGACGTCAAGCCCCGGGGGTACGTTTTGGAGGCCTGCAGCAGCAGCAGCAGCCGCTTTGTTTTTAACAGGATCCAGAAGGGACGTTAAGCCCCGGGGCAACGTGTTTTTGGACGTCGTTCCATCCTTCAGTTTCGTCCTTCAGTGGCATGGTGTTTCAATGTGGCGCAGGGTACGTTTTGGAGGCGTGCAGCAGCAGCAGTTGTGATTTGTTTCAGAAGGGACGTCAAGCCCCGGGGCAACGTGTTTTTGGAAGTCGTTCCGTCTTTCAGTGGCATGGTGTTTCGGTGTGGCGAAGGGTACGTTTTGGAGGCCTACAGCAGCAGCAGTTGCTTTGTTTTGAACAGGATCCAGAAGGGACGTCAAGCCCCGGGGCAACGTGTTTTTGGACGTCGTTCCGTCCTTCAGTGGCATGGTGTTTCGGTGTGGCCAAGGGTACGTTTTGGAGGCCTGCAGCACCACCTCCAGCAGCACCACCAGCAGCAGCAGGAGCAGCAGCAGCAGCAGGCCCAGCAGCTAAACTCGCTTTGTTTTTACCAGAAACCAGAAGGGACGTCAAGCCCCGGGACAGCATGTTTTTGGAGGTCGTTCCGTCCTTCAGGGCCATGGTGTTTTGCTGTTTCGGAATCGCCCGCTGGAACTTCGCTATGGAGCTGTTTTGAGGGCATGGGAGCTGCACTTTGGAGCTAGTTTCTTGTTGGTTCAGAAGGCAACGATAGGCAGTGGAGCCTGCTTGCTAGGCGCCGCTTCCGTCCTTCAGTGCCATGGTCTTTTGCTGTTTCGGAATCGCCCGCTAGACCTTCGCCCGCTAGAACTTCGCTGTGGAGCTGTTTTGAGGGCATGGGAGCTGCAGTTTGGAGCTGGTTTCTTGTCGGTTCAGAAGGCAACATTAGGCAGTGGAGCCTGCTTGCTAGGCGCCGCTTCCGTCCTTCAGTGCCATGGTGTTTTGCTGTTTCGGAATCGCCCGCTAGACCTTCGCCCGCTAGAACTTCGCTGTGGAGCTGTTTTGAGGGCATGGGAGCTGCAGTTTGGAGTTGGTTTCTTGTCGATTCAGAAGGCAACGTTAGGCAGTGGAGCCTGCTTGCTAGGCGCCGCTGCCGTCCTTCAGTGCCATGGTGTTTTGCTGTTTCGGAATCGCCCGCTAGAACTTCGCTGTGGAGCTGTTTTGAGGCCATGGGAGCTGCACTTTGGAGCTGGTTTCTTGTCGGTTCAGAAGTTAGGCACTGGAGCCTGCTTGCTAGACGCCGCTTCCGTCCGTCAGTGCAGTGGTGTTTTGCTGTTTCGGCATCGCCCGCTAGAACTTCACTGTGGAGCTGTTTTGAGGGCATGGGAGCTGCAGTTTGGAGTTGGTTTGTTGTCGGTTGAGAAGGCAACGTTAGGCAGTGGAGCCTGCTTGCTACGCGCCGCTTCCGTCCTTCAGTGCCATGGTGTTTTGCTGTTTCGGAAGCGCCCGCTAGAACTTCGCTGTGGAGCTGTTTTGAGGGCATGGGAGCTGCACTTTGGGGCTGGTTTCTTGTCGGTTCAGAAGGCAACGTCAGGCAGTGGAGCCTGCTTGCTAGGCGCCGCTTCCGTCCTTCAGTGCCATGGTGTTTTGCTCTTTCGGAATCGCCCGCAAGCAACAGAATCTGTCAAAAAATGCTGTTTTTCTAGGACTTCAGATGACACGTTAAAGAGTTTTTTGGCGTGGTTTTGGAACTAGCTCGCTCTTCAGCTCGTCCTTCAGAGGCATGGTGTTTCATGATGTTTCGCCCCCGGGAGGTGATTTTTTCGAAGCTGTTTTACTGCTTTCCGTCCTTCAGTGCCATGGTGTTTTGCTGTTTCGGAATCGCCCGCTAGAACTTCGCTGTGGAGCTGTTTTGAGGGCATGGGAGCTGCAGTTTGTGTCGGTTCAGAAGGCAACGTTAGGCAGTGGCGCCGCTTCCGTCCTTCAGTGCCATGGTGTTTTGCTGTTTCGGAATCGCCCGCTAGAACATCGCTGTGGAACTGTTTTGAGGGCATGGGAGCTGCACTTTGGAGCTGGTTTCTTGTCGTTACAGAAGGCAACGTTAGGCAGTGGAGCCTGCTTGCTAGGCGCCGCTTCCGTCCTTCAGTGCCATGGTGTTTTGCTGTTTCGGAATCGCCCGCAGGCAACAGAATCTGTCAAAAAATGCTGTTTTTCTAGGATTTCAGACGGCACGTTAAAGAGTTTTTTGGCGTGGTTTTGGAACTAGCTCGCCCTTCAGCTCGTCCTTCAGAGGCATGGTGTTTCATGGTGTTTCGCCCCCGGGAGGTGATTTTTTCGAAGCTGTTTTACTGCTTTCCGTCCTTCAGTGCCATGGTGTTTTGCTGTTTCGGAATCGCCCGCTAGAACATCGCTGTGGAACTGTTTTGAGGGCATGGGAGCTGCACTTTGGAGCTGGTTTCTTGTCGGTTCAGAAGGCAACTTTAGGCAGTAGCCTGCTTGCTAGGCGCCGCTTCCGTCCTTCAGTGCCATGGTGTTTTGCTGTTTCGGAATCGCCCGCTAGACCTTCGCTGTGGAGCTGTTTTGAGGCCATGGGAGCTGCACTTTGGAGCTGGTTTCTTGTCGGTTCAGAAGTTAGGCACTGGAGCCTGCTTGCTAGACGCCGCTTCCGTCCGTCAGTGCAGTGGTGTTTTGCTGTTTCGGCATCGCCCGCTAGAACTTCGCTGTGGAGCTGTTTTGAGGGCATGGGAGCTGCAGTTTGGAGTTGGTTTCTTGTCGATTCAGAAGGCAACGTTAGGCAGTGGAGCTTGCTTGCTAGGCGCCGCTGCCGTCCTTCAGTGCCATGGTGTTTTGCTGTTTCGGAATCGCCCGCTAGAACTTCACTGTGGAGCTGTTTTGAGGGCATGGGAGCTGCAGTTTGGAGCTGGTTTGTTGTCGGTTGAGAAGGCAACGTTAGGCAGTGGAGCCTGCTTGCTACGCGCCGCTTCCGTCCTTCAGTGCCATGGTGTTTTGCTGTTTCGGAAGCGCCCGCTAGAACTTCGCTGTGGAGCTGTTTTGACGGCATGGGAGCTGCAGTTTGGAGCTGGTTTGTTGTCGGTTCAGAAAGCAACGTTAGGCAGTGGAGCCTGCTTGCTAGGCGCCGTTTCTGTCCTTCAGTGCCATAACAATACATAACATAACAATACATAATACAAGAATAAGAAGCGGTGGAATTGTTCTTGATCAAGGGTGGTGATAATGACGGGGTGGTGACGAAGAAAAGTGGTGACGAAGGGAAGTGGTGACGAAGGGAAGTGGTGAAGAAGGGAAGTGGTGAAGAAGGGAAGTGGTTACGAAGGGAATGATGATGAAGGGGAGTGGTGAGGAAGGGAGGTGGGGACGATGGGAATGGTGCTTCCCTATTTTCAAGGGGAACGGGAAGTCCAGGTGCTCCTCTATTTGAAAGGGGAACGGGAAGTCCAGGTGCTCCTCTATTTGAAAGGGGAACGGGAAGTCCAGGTGCTCGTCTATTTTAAATGGGAACGGGAAGTCCAGGTGCTCCTCTATTTTAAAGGGGAACGGGAAGTGTGGGATGCTGCACCTACCAAATCTACAGACATGGAACCCTTCTCAACGAGTAGAATCTGCATCTATCACCGCACTTGAGCTGTGTGAAAACACAGCGCAAACCTCTTTTTTTGTCCGGGGTGGGCGGCAGGGGCGGCAGCCCTTAATATATAATATATATATAATATATATATATATATATTACATCTATGTATTATGTATATTATCTATATACATATAATCTTTCTTTGTATGTAAATAGCAAAATACACATTATATACATTGTGTATGTATTTTTGGAATATGTATATTCCATGTACATGTGTATTTAAAAAAAACATGCATTCGTGAAATGATTTTTTCTCCTGCGGTCTAGTTTCTTTCTCGATTCGATTGGATCAGCTTCCCAAGCAGCAGGACTGAAACAAACTGGACGTGGTTCCTTCCTCAGCTGGACCCACCGAAACTCCACCCTTTTGTCGTTGCTGTTTGTTCTCCAAAAAGTCAGAAACATTATTTTCCTACCATTTTGATATATATATATATTGATATTTTTTTGCTTTTCCATGTTGGTTGGGGGAGGCCCAAAAATTCTTGCAAGATCCCAAACTCTATTTCTTGAGCGCATGGCCAGGACACGGTGGAGCAAGTGAAGGGACAAATCTGCGAGTTGCAGGCCACGTCGTCTCTGGTGTCCTCAAACATGGCTAGCTCGAAAATTCCCAATTTGTAGATGACGTTCTCATCGAAACCTCCATTTAGTTCGGGGATTTCCGACTTCAAATTTACACGGCAGTTCCCTCTGCGCCTGTCGGTTTAATCATGCGACAGGTTGTCCCTCCTGAGTTAAAGGTCTATCCGTGGGCCAACAGAGACAAAAGGAATTCATGAATAGACAAATACCGTACCTGCATCTATATACAAAGATGTTTGCATTCATTATATTCTTGAATCTAATATACCGCTATCCATTGGTATGGTATGTGCACATATATATATATATATGTATATACACACATATATATACACATACAAATATATATATATATATATATGTACACACATGTTTGTATATATATATAGACATATATATATATAGACATATATATATAGACATATATATATATAGACATATATATATATAGAGAGACATATATATATATATATAGAAATATATATATATATAGACATATATGTATATATACATACATATATATATAGACATATATATAGACATATATATATATATATGCATGTATATATATATGTATACGTATATGCATATACATTTATATATATATATGTATACATATATATATGCTTACATATATATATATGTATACATATATATATATATGTATATATATACACGTATATACATATATATATATATAAACATATATATATATACATATATATATATATATACACATACATATACACATACACATACACATACACATACATACATACATACGTACATACATACATACGTACATACATACATACATACATACATATATATGTATATATATATATTTTTTTCCTTCGGCTTCGGCCTTTTGGGACTTGCGTCGCGGCTCAGGCACTTGAATTCTGTGACAACGCGGTCTCTAACCTGCGTAATCGCGACCGTAACTGTCGGTGAAGCTTGTCTTTCTTTACAAACGGTCAAGAAGTCATCATCTGGGTCCTCGGTCTGTGTGATTGGGACAGCTGATTGCTTCACAAAATTGGCCAGCAATTGGCCAGCAAGAGCTTTATTCATTGCTGGAGGGTACTCCTTGAGTGACCCAGTGGCCCAGTGTCCGTCATTTTGACGACCTATGGATCCTTCTTTCGGGTTAACCTTGGTCACCTGGTTCGAGATGATGGCCCACTTCATGTTATATACTATATATACTATATATTATATATACTATATATACTATATATAGTATATATACTATATATACTATATATATATATAGTATATATACTATATATACTATATATATATACTATATATACTATATATACTATATATACTATATATACTATATATACTATATATACTATATATACTATATATACGATATATACGATATATACGATATATACTATATATACTATATATACTATATATACTATATATACTATATATACTATATATACTATATATACTATATATACTATATATATATATATAGTATGGATATGTATTTAGGATGGATTTTAAATCCTGCACATATGTATGCACCAGTCCTTTTAATATGTTTGCACATTAAAAGGTACGTGATATTCTAGGGTAGGTCAGCCATTTCCGCAAAATTGTCGCAGGGCCTGCCAGTGGACGAGCAGAAGCTGATTTTTGCTGGACGCACTCTGGACTCTGCTGAGAGGCGACCATGTGTTGAAACCTCCCAGCTTTCCGGGGACAACGATTTCTGATTTGCCCGTGCACTTTGGACGTTTTCATACTATGCACGTTGAAGATAGTGGCCTCGGTTTTCTTGACTGTCCTTTTTCACAGGGATTGCGTCACCAATCTGTAGGCCAGAGGTCTATCCCCTTCTTCTGCATTTCATCAGCTTTCACAGAGTAAACCCATCCAAGATGAACCTCATTGGTGGAAGTTGTGAACTCGTTTTGCCTATTTTGCAACCCTCTGGACGGCCAATGGAGTTTGACACGCAGCAGCGAATGATGGGTCTTCAAGGCTAGATATATACTCCAATTGATTTCGGGGCCTCAGATGGCAAAAGATCCCTGCCAAGGATTGGCCCCTGCCAGGATACTTTTTAGGGATCGTTTTTTTTCGGACACCCTTAATATATCGATGGTGAAAACCTCAGTTTCAACCCAGTCCTTTTTGTCAGTCTGGTGGCTGCTGGCCTGGACGATGAGTTGCAACCTCAGCTCTCCAAGCGGTACATAGCGGTCCCGGGTGCCTCAAACTCGCCAGCATTTCGGTGTCTTTCTGTCCCACTTGGAGGAATGGTTATGGCATCAGTATGCATCAGTTATGGGTGGTTATTCAGATGCTCATAGATGTTGACATAGATGCTCATGGTTATGGATTCATCGATGGTTATGGCTAGTTATGGATGGTGATAGCTGAAAACCCGCAATGACCAACATCTGTGAGGTCCACTGTCTTCGTGTCACTGGGCCTCGAAGGTGGGGTCGGAAGGGGGTGGCGATGGGTGGCGGCATTTTGCCTTTGCCATGAGGAAAGTCTGTTGGACCAAATATGTTGGATGATTTGCATTGAAGATAGAGATGGCCACCAATTTATGTAATGACTCATGCCCACATGGAGTGGCAACAAGATACTCCAGCGGGATATAGCGGGATGAAATGGGTACACGAAAATTGCCATTGCGCAGATTGCGCATCCCAGGAATTCAATGGTTGAATCCAGGAAATGGCCAGCATCTGCAGGTTGAGGGTCTAACATTCGATCCTACACCCCCGCTTCCCATGAATGAAACGAAATCTAGGACACCAAAGGACATCAGGACACGAGTCTGTCATCTTGAGCAGTGGGCTCTCGAGGACTTTCTAGGGGCATGGCTTTAACTTGATCATCTTTATAGCTATTTTTTGGGTGTCTTGCGGGTCCATATCTGTCTGTACGGTCAGACTGACAGGCGGCGGAAAGAAGCGAAAGAAGAAGACGTGCACAGTGGTTCTGGTTTGTGTTGTTCTTTGTAACATCAACATCACCAGTCTAGGTCCCTCCACTTTGTTGGTACTGGGTAGAGCCCAGCCATGCCCTGATTGGGTTCTGTTCGTTACAAGTTACAAGGTGAAGATGTGGCAGCTTCAGGTACACCAAACCCAAGAAGATCAAGCACAAGAGAAAGAAGGTGGGATGGCCGTAATATGTCGTCATTCATCCTCAGACATCGTGCGGCCCCAGGAGACATGGCAGAGCGAAGGTAAATGAGTTGAAACTACGGTAGCCATTCTTCTTCCGTGAATTCCGATGCAGCCGCAGCCAAGTCCGAAATAATTGGTAACTGCAGGCGCAGAGTTGGGTAGAAATTACTCGATCGCCACTGGCGCAAAAACATGCAGAGTCTCTCTCTGTCAGCAAACGCTCGCCCCGACCATGTAGATCCACCCAACAAATCACCAAGTGCAGTTCCTGAAGATTATAGCAGCTATAATCTGATCGAAACTGTTTCAAATTTGAGGAACCTCAGGATTCCTGGTTGCCAATAGGAACATTTGTTGAGGAACCAGATCCTCAGCCAGCCTCAGAGCCTGAAATGGGTAGACAAGCGGAAAGCAGAGCTCTTCAAGATCGGAAAGAGTAGCATACTTATTCCATGGCAGCAGAAGTTCAAACTCAACGTACAGGTTCCAGTTTCCGGACCCCGGAACCTGCAAGGTGAAGCTCGCAGTTTTGAAGTTCTACAAGGTGGATTCCAACGACAAGGCATCCCTTGGTGATGCTAAGATATGGTGGAAACATTGTATGGAAACTGTTGGGTGAGTAGCTTCAGGACATCCCACATGAGTGATATATGTCACACATATACAATCATATATAATCACATACATATATTATTACTATTATTGTTATTATTACTATTATTATTATTATTTATATTTATTATTATTATTATTATATATGTATATATGTATATATATATGTATACATATGATCATATGCTCCCTTTTGCAGGTGACTCGTCTCCGTCGTGAGTGCCCCCATGAGACCTGCGGGCGAGGGGAGCCCAGCTCTCTGGGCGTCCATTGGTCCTTGAAGATCATGTTGTTTTTGGATATGGGGATGGGTCAAAACCTATCAGATAGCATAAAATATCACATTTTTTTGGGATAAACATCCAGATATTGGGGATAAAAAACAATGTTTTTGGATGTTTTTGGGGAGGCACATCCATGAATGCCAGCTATTTTGGTGGGAACAAAAGAATGGGGTTGTTTGAAGGTAGCCACAAATCCAATGCCAATGATGAATTAGCATTTTTCCTGCTGGTTGACGGCCATGTGCGGGGTATACCCCATTTTCAGATACACCCTACCCTGTGTCACTTGATTGAAGGGACAATTGCAGGAAACACCAGAACTTATGAGAAAAAGAACATAGTTTCCTGTAGCATTAGGAACCAATTGGTGAACTACGAATTGACCAAATCTGTGGTCCACATTGGTCCACTAGACCTTAAGGATGGCCAAAAGGGATTGACTTGGTATGTGAAACCGTGAAACCAATCATATTTTGCCCATCCTTGGACGAACCAGCCCAGCATCTGAGGGATGACATAACGGCATAACGTGTGACATGGGGTAAAACCGTGTGGTGCGGGCTGTTGACCCACAGTCACATGGAAAACCAAATGCTCCTGCGATTTTCTCTGAAAGGAGCAACTTTCTACAGGGATACAACCGCTCTGATCCAAAGTAAGGAATTTATCAGCCAAGGGCTTCAACAGCCAGGGTCCTTTAAATCATGTGAGGTTGATGTTTTTATTCTTTTAGTGACTCTCACCAGCGTAATGTTTTTTTGTTGATTATTTAATTATTTTCTTCAGGCCAGAGATGTTTGGACCTTTATCAGGCTGATCTTTTGTCTTCATGAGCTTCAGCAGCTTTATTTTTGTCACCAAGATGTATTTATACAATTCATATTAATCAGCTTGATTATACATGTTTGTTCCTTAACCGCCGCAATACGGTTGATTCTGAATTTTCTTCCAGGCTTATTTGATCAGTTTCTTTTCCTGACAGAACATCATAAAATTCAGGAACACAATCCTCTTGTATCTTTACCATTTCCCTGCTTCCAGACTTGGATGAAAGTCTACAGGAACCCCTATATTGGGTGAATAAAAAACCAAGGGTTTTCCATGGTTTTCCTATAGATTTTCCCATAAACCAATCCATTGCCTCAGTCCAGGCCTGGCGTCTTTATGGCCATGCACTTCAACCGCTACTACTGCGGTGGGGAGACCATGGGAGACCGCGGCAGACTTCATGGCAGCCATGATCCCCCATCATCCCTCACAAACCATGGCAGATCATGGGCAAAATGTGCCAGGTAGGTGCCACCTGACCTACCTGATCAAGAAAGATGGCTAGGTGCCATGACACCAGCGTGAGGTGGTTCTTGGCCTTGCAAACTCGTGGGAAACATCTGGAAACGAAATCAGGAAATCTGCACACAATGTGGAAATACGTGGACGCATGTGGAAGAATGGTCCATTTATGTCCAACGATGATTTGGGACATTTAGGGGTGGATACAGATGGCCTGTAATTAAGTGAGGGTTCATCGGCTGAAATGTGTCTCTTTTTTGTGTATATTATATATACATGATATCCATGTATGTCATATATGTACATATATGTATAGACACAACAGATTGTAATAATACATAATCATATGTATATATATATACACGTAGGTGGATGGATGGATGGACGGACGGACGGACCGATCGATCGATAGGTAGATAGACAGATAGATAGATACATAATGATACATAGATACATAGATACATAGATACATAGATTACCTTACCTATCCTTACCTTACCTTACATTACATACATTACATTACATACATTACATACATGCACATACACATACATACACATACACACACACACATACATATATGGTACCATAGGTGCTGACCCTCCCGCATTTTCACAACTTTGCCATGGACTGGACGTTGTTCTCCGTTGGAGGCTGTCCATGAGCTTCCCACATGTGACGCAAGTCGCGGCACTCGGCCAACAAAAAGGAAGGATCCGGCCGTGGAGCCAGGTGAATGGGCGAGGAAACTTATGGTGAGATAGGGTGCCATTTTTGTGGGGGGAAGATCCATCTATACCAACTATTTTCAAACAGAAGGCTAATTGCCCCCGCGGCTGCTGCAAAAACCTGGATGACCGAGTTTGCATAATATTTTGGATGATTTTTTGGATGTTCTACAAGTAACAGAGCTTCAGAACTTTGGACAGACCTAGAGAACTGAACCCATTTTCAATATCAAGGGCTTGGTTCTTCCTGGGTTGATAGCCCCAAAGGGCTGAGACTGAAGTCTTGTAAGAGGACATTCCCCCAGGGAACATCAAGGACCAATCCATGTTGCGGGAAGTTCGGAATGCAGGCAATGCCGGATGTGACTAGTCCATGAATGCTGGTGATAGAGGGATGTGGGCGGCCTTGTTTAGATGGAACATACAAAACACTTCAACACCAGCACGCAATTCATCTCAACATAGGATATACAACCAGCAAACTGCAAGGACTTCAACAAAGGGGTACCATATCTCAGATTTAGTGTCTTCAGGGACAAATCTGGCACAGGTCCGTGTTTTTTTTGCATTTCTTTCCAAACTGTGGTGGTGGTTTATGGTGTGCTGATTGGCCATCAGTTGGCTCGGTCGCCTGGGCCCGGCGTGGGTCCCGTTCGGCACCATGCGGCTCTTTGTGAGAGATGTGGCGGGGCAGACCCTTTCACTGCAGGTGGATGGTCAGGCACGTTTTTTGGCACAACATGTTGTTCTTGTGGCACAACAACAATACAATTGTTAGTGATGGCTGGTGGATCTTGGTTGCCAACGGATGTTGGTGAACGTTGAGGTATGCCAACGGAAGAACATGATGTCAATGGATGCCAACGGATATTGATGGCATCAATGTGGTGGCGTTCTACCAAAAAGAAGAGGGATTGGAGGAACTCATGCTGGTGCGGAATTACTGGCAAGATATAATATAATCATCTCACAAGCAGTTTAACTATGTTTAACTTTGATCTACGGTGTAAGTTCGATCATCATCAAATGGGCTATTAATATGGGCCGGATTCTTCAGCCGCAGATATGGGATGATCACAGTTTTGGACACCGAGGAGGGGCATATGCAAGTACATATCATATGAATTCATATAATATCATATGTATATAGATAGAATTGTATATTCATATACTGTATATATATATATTATATATTTCCATCAATATCTTTGGGTAGCTGTCGATTTTCTCCAGGCCTCTGTGGAGCAATTGAAGACTTTGATCAGTGAAGAGTCCCAGGCACCCAATTTTGGGGATTTTTTTCTCGGCAGAAAATGGGGATTTCACCGTGGTAAACATGGGGATCTAACGGTTAGAACAGTTGGGATTTCCCCGTTTCACCATCCAAAAATCCATGGGGATCCGTGTTCTTCACTAATTAGTTGAGTATGAAGAATTGAGATAAACCACCATTTTTTTGGGGACATCACAAACAGAACTTGGGTATTTAGCCAGCTGTTGAACATGCTGAAAAACCAAGAAAAGCGGGGGAAATTGGCCAGCAAGCAACTGGATACTTATAGACTTGGGTATGGGTCAAAATCAATGGATTTTGAGAACATAAAGGATCATCCTTTCGGTTTAGTTGACTGTGATTCCAGCATCTCAGTATCCGTTACTGTATGTGCACCTCCAATCTACCTAAAACGTTTGCGCCACTCATGTATCATTATCATCATTTCCACAAGCCATGAACATGATTCCTTCAATGACACAGTGTCACTGTAAAAGGCAATATTCCTGCTCGAAACGGAATCTCTTTAACATATTACGACCATTCCCTTCTTACTAAGAACCATTTTGATTCACAAACTGCAGTCTTTCATACAGACTTTTTTCTTTAAGAAGTCGTGTCCCTGCAAGATACGGAACATTCATCCAAAAGAGGCAGTACTCCTTTTGGTGCATTCTAGTCTTCTTTCAAAATATCCAGTCTTCCTTCAATGGAACGGTCCTTCTTTGAGGAAACACGTTTACCACACAACACTCCTGTCAAAAAGTGCAGTATTCAATCCACAATGTAGCATGAACAGGAACAGATTTCCTTGCAAGAAGAGCCTTTTGCTTGCAAACTGAAATCTTCCTTCAAGGCCTTGAAGGCAGCACGGCATTCCTTCAAGTAAGCAGTCTTCCTGCAAAAAACTACATGTTCTAAAAAATATAATATTCCTTTTGAAGAGGTATGCCTTTTCAAAGGACATCAAAAGGACAACTTCATTGTTTATAAGAATGTTGAACTCTTTTTTCAATCAAGCGCTTCATTCCTTGTGAAGAGAATACATATATATATATATATTACACAAAACGATGCGATACATTCTGAGTGGAAGACCATTCTCTATCAAAAAGAGTAATTACCGCATATATCACAAGGTTGTATTTTGGAGTAATGTTCCATTGTTTGGACAGACTCTTGGATATTGTTTAAATTCAAATGCTTCAATAGATTAAAAGAAGCCCGCACTTCCTTGTAAAGAGAAGAGCATTGGCTCCAATGAATCCCATTTCAAATGCAAGGTGCTTCTTGAAGAGACGGCCGCATATCATAAAAGGACACTAAAATCCCTGTTTGGATTCCGGACGCATTCTACAGAAATTGTGTTCTTTGCAGAACCTTCCAGCGCTTATTGAATGAAATAGTGCATTTATCACAGATTTGATTGTATTGTTAACTCAGAACATTGCCTGTTTAAAAAGGGCATGCTGAATACTTTGAATGAGGATTACTTTTTTAAAGAGGATTGCACTCCCTATAAAGAACACATTTTTTTCATAATTTTCAAATAATACAGAACAGTTGAAAAGGACCATGGCACTTCTAGAACAAATGACGGTTCTCTTGACTGGAAAAATCATTCTCTGCAAGTCTTTTAGATGAATACTTCAATCATGGATATTGTATCCCTGTATCATTTAAGCGGTACTGCATACTTGCAAACATGTTGATGCTGAAACTTTGATACTTTATTGAAGACAATTGAATCTTGTTGACAGTAAGACTCGGTCTTTCACTGAAACTGGTGTTTTCAAAGAAAGTTGCATAGTTTATTAAGTGCCGACTAATTGCACTTCTTTAAACAGATTCCAGCCAAGAGTCTATGTTTTTTCTTGTTTTGTTTTTTCCCAGATTTGAGGTCTGTGACCTATGTTATAATTATAAGACTTTTTTTTTTTCCGGGGGGTGTTATGTTTTATTTTTTCCGAGTTTTGGGTCCCCAGGACCTCTCTTCTTTCTGCATTCCCGATCAACCCACAGATGTTTGTGGCTTGGGTAAACAGATCAGGATGTGCCAACAATGATAAAAAAACAGAAACACCAAAAGCATGATTGTGCGAAGTGCCTTTCATACCGGACATACCAGCAAACTATGATTTATGTAGATCATGACTGGGGTGACCATATATGTATATTGCATGACACAGTAACTTAACTATACTTAACTTATAAAGGACAATCATCTTCCCCAAATTTCAGGACTTTGGGGCCTTACTAAGCCTTACCAATGAATGAAAACCTTCGCAGGTCCCGGTGGAGGAGCAGCAACTGATCTTCGGCGGACGAGCTCTCTGCTCCCATGAGAGGCCTTTTTTTGGCGACCCAATGACACTTTCACCACGACATACCACGACCATTTCGGGATGGTACAGGATAGCCATTAAAATGGTGATCTTATGGGCTGATGATATCTGATGATTGGGTTTACGACATTGACATGTGTGCCAGATCCGTGGATGTGATATATATATATATATATATATCTCTGCTTCCGGCTGTTTTAAACATTGGGTCCGCCACCCAGAAAGCTATCATTGTTGCTTCATATCCCCATTTTCTGGTCTATATGTTCATATCATTCTATATCGCAATCTATACCCTCAGTATCCCCAAAAATTCTACTTCTTTATTGACCTACCACCATTCAAAGACCCCAATAGCCCCTTAATGTTTTGCGATGGCACTTGTTGCGCGACGGGCCGGCACGCCAGCTTGTTGGAGACGGGCCTCAATGATGAGCCGGAAGCCATAGAATGTGGGAGTTGTTGATTTTGAATACATACCCTCTGGTAAACTAACATAGCTATTGAAAATGGCCATTTATAGTGGATTTTCCCATTAAACATGGTGATTTTCCATAGCTATGTTAGTCATTACCAGAGGGTATACTATGCCGATTGGATCTGATTGGATCTGTTGGGTGGTTTCACGTGTTCACCAGGCTTCAAATCCTCCATGGGTCCAAAGGGTCCAAAAAAAACGACCCATGATACGACGACTCGTACTTTCCGGGGGAGGAAAAACGAATCCAACAAGTCACTTGTTTGGGGAAAGCACCAATTTTTTTGATGGTAGAGAAAATCGCAAGGCCAATTCATGTTTGTTGATTGCCATAGATATGGGATGATATGGGTATGGGTCAACATGTAGGGCCTAAGGGGACCACAGAGTTGGGTGATGTTTAGTATTACAAAATCAATATTCATCATCCAAAAATTGCGGTTCCGCATTTTGACCCATACTCACATCCAGTTTAGAACCGCAACATGACAACAGGGGACACAGGGATACAGCGCAGCTCCCATCAGGCCATGGCAACAACATGCAGATGATGCATTTAGAGAAGCCACATACCCTCTGGTAAACTAACATAACTATAGAACATCACCATTTTTAATGGGAAAACTCACTATAAATGGCCATTTTCAATAGCAATGTTAAATTACCAGAGGGTATTGAGGCTGTATCATCGACCACGGAAACTCTCTCAACATCCAAAATCAACCTTAGAGGATGACTTGACGAGGACCAGGTTTGAGTAATCACTGGTAATCACCACATCTCTTCACTCTCCTCAAGTCCTCACGTCCGCCTTTGATTTTCGCAGAGATTTGATGATCTCAGGTCCACTGTCTTCGTGTCTTCAGGGCTTGAAGGTGTCGCTCCCGGGGCTGGAGATCCAGTGAAGCCATGACCAGTGACCATGGGTTGCTGGTTAGGAAGGAGGGGTCTATTGCCAGAACATGTTTCAGGATTTCTCCATGTCCCTGGAGGGATCTATAGAAATATATCATGGATCTTTGAACTTTAATTGGATCGTGCCCCAAGATAAAGTGACTGTCAAAGTCCAATGTGGGCAACATGAGGTGTCTACGATCTGCAAGAGTGGTTTCCGGGGAACTACCGTAGGTGCACGAATTGTTCAAACCCCTGTAGACATCCTGAGCCCCCTTCCCCCAAAATTTCAATGTTAGTGCTGTCTTCAAATCATGGCCGCGAATGGACGAAATAAATCAAACCCCTCAGGACTGACATGGAGACATACAACAGCAACATTGAAATTCAGGGGCCCGAGGGAATTTACAGATCATGCACCTGCGGTTTGATTGATTTGCCAATCTACTGTAGTCAATGCTTTTATAGTACGTGTATGTTGGTACATGGGTTTGTCCGGAGATGGAGTATACCCAAAATATGCAACTGCAAAAATGATGGTAGTGCGTTTGGAATTGGGGCTACCGTAGGGTACCCCTTTTTCATTCAATCCAATATGCATTGCATGACGACATTAGCAACATGTCTAAAGTCTAAATCACACCAGATACTTTTAGTGCAGCAGTCATACATTTCACTTGTCATAACAACTTTTCAATTCAAGCTTTCATTATTTCATGTTATGACACTGCTTGTCCTGTTGACTGGAGACTTCTCATACTGTTACCAACCCTTGGTGTGTGCATATAGATATATACACATCCAGCATATACATCACACACACACACATGTAATTGCACACGTGCATACATCTTTAATACGACATTTACCCTGGCATTAAAGGTACAGTTGGTGATGGGGACCTTTCATATCGCTCATTTATTGCAGCCCCACCCTGACCCTTGCCGAAGGTGGCGGCAAGAAGCGCAAGAAGAAGACGTGCCCCAAAGTGGACGGCTGATGGAACCATATCCATCCATATCCCAACTACATCATCTTGTTTTCAGGGGACGTCCCAAAACTCTTCAACGTCCCATGTTGAGAAAAATATTGACCTCCCCAAAATGGGGTAGCCAAAGGTGGCCAAAGGTGGCCAAAGATGGCTTGTCAGAGCAATCCAGGTCTGAAGACAGTGATGGCCAGGTAGCTGGCGGGGCCAATCTGACAGGTACACCAAGCCCAAGAAGATCAAGCACAAGCGCAAGAAGGTTCCACATGTCGGGCTAAGGCTGGCTATAAAACAACATTCATGTAATGACCCACAAGCATATCTACCTTTATATGAATAATACATATATATATAACTATATATATATAACTATATATATAATATTTATATACATATGTATATGTATAGTATGTGTATATAAATATATAAACAGCATAACATAGCATTGCATTACATTTACCTTACATATCCTTACATTTACCTTGTATGTACATAGAGGCATGTCTTTGTGAGCCATGGCCTCGAGGTGAAGCTTGCAGTTTTGAAGTTCTACAAGGTGGACTCCAACGACAAGGCACTGGGTAACTTCAGGACATCGATGGTTGATGTAGCAGAAATGCATAGCCATCTGGACACAATATGTACATTATACATCTACATTGTATCATATATATAATATATATATATACATTTGCATATATTACTATGATAGTACCTACAAACATAGGCATATCTGCAAAACTAAATAGAAGTATGAATGTAAATGGAAACACAAGTATAAGTACATACAAAATAACTAAAATATGTTCATCAATACATATATATATATATATAAATAATTGTTAAAATAATATAACGATGAGCACACACATATATATATATATACACATATATATACATACATCTACATATATATATATACAGTACATATATATATATATATAAAGTACATATATATATATATATGCATTGTGTATTGGCAACTTACCCAAGAAGTCGCCAGATGATTGATGTATTCAGCTTACCTTTCTCAAATGGCAGGTCCACAGCACATGAATGAAATGGGAAGGATTGCGCGTTGAGACATTTTAGCTGCAATGGGGTCTTCTGAGAAAGGAACCGGATCTCTGCTCCTAGAGATTCTGCTTGCCCTCCTGTTGCTTACCATCTCGCTGTTGCTAAACGTGACCCTCAGGGCGGATGATCGTCTGATAGTTTACTTTCAGACAGTTTGATTCGATTTTCATCCAGACAAGGATCCCCCATGACCAGATCTTGGACAGTGCACCTAACATGGCAGTGGAAAATACCAATCCAGAATCAATGACTAGAGGATTTTTCCTCCAAAGAAAATGACTATTTATAGATGGTTTTCCCACCAAAGATTGGAGATTAGGGGCATGTTCGCAACTCAGCTTGCAGCCACATCCAGGGTCAAGTTCTGCCAGGTGACTCGTCTTCGAAGGGAGTGCCCCCACGAAACCTGCGGGTGTCCTGGCGTGATCTCGACTGGTGCTGGAAAACAACAGGTGGCGGAGGTTTTCTCCCGGCAATCATGGAAGTTTGGAGAAGTTTTGCAATTATGCGATTTTTGTGCACGGATCTTTCTAGCTTTGCAGGGATCCATGTACCAATGCTGTTGCAAGTCTCCCGCTAGCCAGTTTGGGTTGGAATGAGGATCAGTGGAGGGACACAATGTTGTGAATTGGTGATTGTGAAGGTTTTGTCTCAAAGCAGGGACCATAAGCCGTGCTCTTTGCACAGATCTGTCACTAGTCTGTAGGCATTTGCACATCAGTCAAGTAAAAGATTCCCTGGCACACATCCACACGATGTCTACACATTATTGGATCATCTTCAAAATTTGTGATTATTCACTTTATGCACATGCATACGTATCAATCTTCGAAGGTTTATGTTTCATCGCGTGTGGACTGACGTGAAACACTAGTTTTGATGTCATACATCATCGTGGATTCTATAATATAGTGTAATATTCGTCCAGAATTCCTCTATCAAATCTTGCCTTCACCCAAAAGTTCGTAATCCCTTGATTGCAATGATCCCCGATTTCAAGACAAACATGTTTCGGCTGAATTTGGGCCAGCCATCCGTCCAGACATATCTATCTACTATTTAGATCACGTAAATAGAAGATTAACTATAAATTGTATGTATATGTTTGTATATGGACAGATGGTTAGATGGATAGGTGTCTTCAATATGTATTTGTGACCCCCAGCCATCCCAACCCAGTTACTAGCCATTTTGATCATCGATGGTATCAGCATCCGCTTCGCCGAGACCTGGAGTCTTTATGGCCATGCACTTCAATCGTTACTACTGCGGTGCCTGAACCGGAAGGGATCCAGGGTCTCCAGGGTTTTTTCATGGTCTCCATGGTCTGTCCAAGGCATCTGGTCCCGTCCCAGGTAGGTGCCATCTGACCTACTTGATCAAGAAGGACGGGTGAATCAACGAGGTGGGCCCTGGGTGACCGTGTCTCCTTTCGTGTGAGAATCGCTTCTCGGAATCATGACAAGTGATCCCTATCCTGGTAAAAATCCGAAGACTTTGGCTCTGATCAGAAAGCAGGGCTCAACTGCTCAACCATATCCATTTGATATGGATATATATCTGATATATTCTGATATCTGATCCCTCTCACTGTGCTTTCTCTGTACATGCCATAATCTCAGATCCTTTCCCGCTCAGTCCATGCTTTGCTCGTATGGACTCGCTGAGGAAAACGGTCAAGTCTGACCAGACAGCATAGTGTAGACTGGTAAGATTAATATAATAATAAACATGGGGATGGTTCTTCCATCAGAATCATGCCAATATGATCCAATATGGATATATCCGTTGACATGAGGATATAACTACAGCGGCTACAGCGTATCACATGTGGGCCGATACCCAACACGCAGCATTTCTTGGAAGACCCACTAGGGTCCTTTCTGGAGAACAGCCTCATAAAAGTCTGGATCAAGTCTAGATCCAGTGATGGAAGCTTAACAAATCCTATGATGTCTTCCTCTTTTGAATGTCAAGAAAGAAATAGCTCCATGACAACTGACATGGAACATCAAAAAATTGGATTGGAAGATGATATGACAGTGAACTTCCAGTGAATATCGCACAAATTAGTGTCCATCTTGATTTTCTGGGGTATCACCCCCAATTCACCCATCGTCAGGCGAGACAAGACCTGAGCCACCCTTGAGACCAGACGCAACGGACTCGGGACAAAGATCAGCGAGAGCTTGGCTTGTGGCTGCCAGGATGTTTTTGGTTCAAGGCTTTGACCGTTCAACATCGTCCAACCATGCTTTTTGGATGGTTTTTTGGTGGGTCGACACACTGATTCTACTGGAAAATGTTGGGGTATGAGCATGGAAATATGAGCTATATCCATGAGGGCATTGATATTGGGAGTATCCTCCAAAGTCCTCAGAGGAGAAAAGGTCGATTTTGAAGAATCAACAATTTTGTACCACAATCGATCGAGCGAAGTCGTGAAAGCTTCAGGTGCCCCGTCAAGTATCCAGATATCGTTAGGGACTTGCCAAAGGCTAGCCATCACCATGACAACAGATGACAGTATTTACATGCATTTTCAGGATTTTTCTCCTGAGTTTGCCAGGACTCTTGATGAATGCTGATGTCATCATGATTTTCCACAGACTTTATCTCGACTGGGGGAGACTCACCAACCATGCAGTGCACGGATGCCTGGACATTGCCAAACGATATGCTACATGCTCTTTCAAGCCTTATGGCCAGGAATATGGGAGGTCCGCAGCAGTGCAAAAGATGGCTTACATGATAAGAATCTCGGAGGGTGTCAGATTTTATCCGGAAACGATGAAAGATATGAATTTCGGAGCCGCTACTACAAGAAGATACAAACGGCAAGCAACAGCAACCAATTCTCCTTTGTGCGGTCAACACCATAACCCTTTTGGATGCGCATAGCTGTGCGCAGCAGGCGAGAGAGTGCATTTCCTTGTCACACAAAATGCTGATGATTCTGCAGTTGATGTAGTCTACGTTTGAATCACATATGATGTCACATATGTCACATGCAAGCATGAGTCGTTTGTGTTTGCAGTATATAGACACTCGGAGTTGGGTTGCACGACTGATGTGCTGGAATCATCAAGGCATTCTGGCTGGAGATACTTTGGAGGGTGGGGACCCGATGCTGATGCACAGCTTCCCGAAATAGAGCAATACACACATGAGTGCCTCTTCCCTTTTTGCTTCCCCATGGCCCTTTCCTATTTTTGGCATTTCCCACACCTGGTACAGTAGGTATTGCGGAGGCACAGGTGCCTGCCTTGCAGATCCTTTTCCTGCAATGCCAGGTATACGAATATCAATGGCGGCTATGAGGCCTGTCGGGGGCTGGTTCTGCTGAAGTTGCAATCTGGAAATGCCTAGGAGATAGTTTGGTTGGCCGAGGCCACTTTTGGGGCCAAGTACGTGGAACTCGAAGACTCTTTGGGTGCTCAGGAGATAGCTTTTCCATAGCACGTCAGGAAAGTGGGAAGCACCAGGGACGACCTGCCTTCCGCAGGAGCTGCGGAGTGAGACAGTGCAGGGTTGCTTTTGTTTGAAACCAGTGAACAGTTGCAAGGGTTTCCAGCAACGTCCACAACCCATTAAATATTGAAATCACTTGAAATCCAGAATCCATATTTGATATTATTTAATGACATTTAATGATAAGGCAGGTGAAGATTTGATAGTGCGTTTCCGCAGATGGTTGTTTGAAATGGAACTGGAGTTGGTCTTTAAGCCAAGCTCGAACGCTTGGTCAAACATTTTGGGCTTGTTGGGGCTCCCATCCAGCAGAACCCGATCCCCTGCCAATGCCAGCTATGTCCGAGTCACTTGGTTGTGGGCCAAAGCCGTTTGATCCCAGAAATTCTTATGAAATTATTCTTGAATGGGCACCGAATTGGACCTATGCGAAGTTGAGCCATTGAGTGTCCTGACTTTCATCCAGCAAAGCAGGATGCAATCCTGTCTCTTTTCCAGACCCCAAATCCCACCAGGGGATAGAAATGGCCTGGGTGATGGTTTCACAGCTGTTTTGTCCTCCCAATCATGTGGACAACTCCAACTGATTTAGAATCGTAGCCACAAATCAGCCCCCTATGTTGTTGCCTCTGGAGGACAACTGGTGATACTTGGATCTTCCATCAAGATGGCTTGAACAAAGGCAGGATGTCTTTGTCCAGTGTGGGTCACAGGGGGTCTCAGTCCTGTTTCCGTATCCATGTCTTCCTTAAAACGGGTACGACTTGTTTTGAACATGGCATATAATTTCTCGAATTTGTGTCCATTCTCATCCATTTTCGTTTTTTCTAAACATTCTAAACCATAGTTTCTAGGAGGCTAGGAGGCTAAGTGTTTCAACATATTCCGCATCTTTTTCCTCGCAACATCCGATGACCAAGTCACCAAGTGACTTCCCAGCGGCTCCCAGTGGCGAACAGCGCCAGGTTCCTGGCACTTCGGCCCCGCCTTGCCGTCAGCGCGTGGCGCGGCGGTGCACTTCTCGCCCGGGAGTCCCAGACCTGGAGATGCTGTCCCTGAAAGGGGAGATCATGCCGCAGGGGGCCGCAGGGGGATGGAAAAACAGAACATAGAAATCATAGAATGGATATGTATGATATGAATGGATCCGTGAAAAACCTATTCAAAACTCTAAATCTATAGAAATTATCTAGAACCAACCACTTCTTTTGGCAGTTTCATCAGTAACAATTTATATCAATTTCAGAATGATCATAATGTTTCATTGGTTATGTTGAGACGTTTATGAGTTCCCTGCATTTTCCCCCTGGGTCTGAATCTTTGACCCCACGAAAAAAGTGGCCAGGTGTGCTGGCGACGCCACAACTCCGCAGGAGGCGGCATGGCCTCCAGACTGTGTGGAGAAGGCGCTGGAGTGAACGATTCCTGGGTGTTTGTTATAGAATGATATAGAATGATAGCATGATATAGGTAAAATATATCAAAATATGGCAAAAGAATTGCAAAACAGATGTTATCTCATGTTATACAGAATTCATTGAGTTTGTTGATCTTATACATCTGAATGTCCTGGTTTGGGATTCTTTGCTGGTAATGTTGTTAAAACAATAATAAACCACCCATTTGGGAATGGTTTATACCACCTATTTATGGTGAAATTAAGGATGGTTTATTATTGTTTTACTAACATTAGATCTTCTCGGCTCTTGGCGAAAGTGTGGGAGTGCTCCAAGACGCCTGCGTCCAAAGCGGCGCGTGGCCTGTGGGAGGACAAAGCTAGGTGCTGAGCCGAAGCGATGAACCGTTGCAGGGGACTTGTCATGGCGCGTCTATCCGTCTATCCACTGTTCAAGTGAGGCTTTTCAGGTAGATAGACGTGGATAGTATTGTAAAATACTGTAGATTTTAGAGCCTTAAGATGGTTTTGGATGTCCAAATTCAGTTCTCACACTTTTCTGAAGAAACAAACATCAGATGACCATTCATCGGTCGATTGCTGCATCCTGCGGCTGCACCAAGGACTTTCCGCCCGCAGCCAAGTCCATCGGCACCCTGGCGAAACCTTGCTCGAACCCCTCGTTCTCCTTTTTTGGGACCCCAAATATATGATAATATATGTATATTGCCTTGCTGATATTGATGATGATGATGATGATGATGATGAAATGATGGCGACAATGGTCAGAATCATTGATTGACATAATATTGTACTTTGTGCAATAGAATGGATGTGCATATACATATGTGAATACATATGTATATATATATATGTTTTATATCCAGCAGTTTCAAAAAAGCTCTGCTGACTTTGATGTACACGATAGTATATTCAGATTCATCCGCTTATATCCCCGTATTAAAATAGGTGCAGCTAAAGGAAAGCATGCCGTCCCCAAATTGGTCTACCGTTAGGACGTTGCCCACGTCTTAGCTGCAGAATGATGCCTTCGTAGGACCAGTCTGAGGCTTCTCATGAACTCAAAATGGATCTATGGGAAAACCCTCCCCAAAAAACCTGAATCTGCCTCCATAATGCTCCATACTTTCATCTTCTCTCTTAATTCGAATTTTGGAGACGTTCCAAGATCCATAAACAGTTGAAGATAGCCCCTGACATCACCCTATGGATGGCTGGGGATAGCTGAAGTGTGGTTCCCAGGCAATTTGTCCGTGAAAGCGGAATGGGTTCCAGTGAGGCCGTTGGGACCGTTGGAGCCGTTGGGGCGATGGTGAGTGGTTTCCATGGACATCCTCTATGCTTCTCATCTTCTCACACATGCTCGGCAGGAATCTAGGATGACCCGCATAGAGTCGCTGTCCATTCTCCAAATCATCGGCCAAGGGAACTCCGGGAGGGCACCTGGAAGCTCTTCGATGTCTCCCCCACGTCCTCGCGATTCGGGGTGGTCAATATCAGCTGGAAGTAACTCTTTTTGGAGCAGATGGAAACAGCAAATGATAACACAGAACACCCTCAACTGACCATTTCGGTCCCATTTCGGTCCCCAGAGCAGCATGGGCTTCTTTTCGCTTCTTTTGTACATTTTCAGGTGTGTTCGTACATTTCAAGGTTGGATGGCGATGGTGTATCCCCGGTGGCGAACCACATGGATTGAAGTAGCACGTGACTGGAGGCTGCAGACATTACTTATTGATGCTATGACGGGTTCACAGCTACGTAGTTGATCGCGTCCGGGATTGGATGGAATGTAGGGCCTGAACATGGTTTGAGATGTCATCAGAGAATACCAGCCTGTCGTGGTCAACAAGTTGCGATTCATGATGTTCAGCTGTGTGGTTCCCCCAAAAACGATTGCATTCGATTGAAACAGGGAAAGTGATGCAAACTGAACAGTTGTGCATCCACTATTCCGGATCTATCTTCAGAAGAAGCGATGGTCAAAGGTTCCTGGTTGGTAGAAAGCAAAGATGTAAATTTCAGCGTGTCCCACGGCACAAACCAAATCTCTTTGAAGTACTCTTGATCTCCAGGTCGCAACTTCCTGACAATGTAATATCATAAGCAAGTATCTCAGGGCCAATACAGCGCAAGTTGATACCAGATGGACTCAGATGGACATTTTGAGGTTTCCTTTTGATGGAGGTTCCATTTTAGGAAACCTCCATTTCTTGGGTGGTGGTGTTGTGAAGGAACAGCAGAAAGTCTCCCAGATGTTGGATGTTTGCCGCTTCTCGCAACTCGCTTCGGAAAACCACGGATATTCAAATCCGGAATGTGAAACAGTTGGTCAACAAGACTCAAAAATGCTGCAAGGTAGGAGAACAAGAAACATTCCATGGATGGATTGACCCTTCCGAGCAAATTGAAGCCTACATGGGCGCAAATAGGAGGTGAATGGAGGTGAGCTGTTGTGCAGTGTGGTGCTCATGCATGAAGCCTGGCGGAATTGCAAATGACCCGCAACATCAGCTGGTGCTTTTCCGTTGGCACCCTGGCCCTAAATTGGTCATGAATTCTAAGAAATGTGCATACAAGATGAAGACATAGAGATACCAGAGGTGACCCACTATCATCCCTGCGCAGGAAATTGAGAGGATGGCCAGTTTTTCAGAGAACACAGTTGCAGTTGATTCATTCCCCCATCTTCTGTGTAAAACCTCTGGATGAATGCTCTGCAGCCATGTCGGCCGCTTCAAAGCAGGCTGGGCCACTTGCCATTGAGGACTCCACTGCCGACTTTCATCGGAGACAGTCCTAGAGGTCTAGGCTTGCGGGGAAGCCGCCACATACAGTACACCACCTGGCCAGCCCCCAATGTAGGCCATACAGTTGCAACATGTTCCAACTGCCATCACATTGCGAAGGTATCTCCCCCGATCTCTGGGACAGAGGCATGGGAGCTGCCATTCCATGGTGGGTTGCAGAATTCCAGAATGGTGCAGGGTCCTGGAGCGGCATTGAGCCAGGCCCTTTTTGGGGTCACTGAAGGCTCGCCATGACCAAAGTCACATCTCTGAATTAGGAGAAGATATATCGGTTCTTCCGGGTTTCTGTCGGATGAAATTACAGATCATGATTCATGAATACTTTGAGATCTTTGAGCAGTCCGCACTTTGGGCTGGAATCATTGCCTCAAGCCAAGCTGCCAGCCTCAGTTCATAGTCGCCAATATGAATGTAATATGGCCTTCCGACCTCTGGCCGGGATATTTTTTTGTTGCTTTGATTTCCGGATTTCAGTGGTTCCTATCAAAGTTGACCTGCACATTTTTTGCAATGTGGTGCTTCAGCACCAACCAGCAAGGACGAGTTGCTTACAATTCCATGTCGGCCAGACAATGGCAGACATTCATTTTGGCCTCTTTTGGATCCAATGAATACATGGCGAAGGCACAACAACTCTGAATGGGTCATGTTGAAGCTGAGTAAACGATGTATATATATACACATACACATGTTTTATATATATAAAACCTATAAAACCATATCAGAATATATCATAATATAATATACTATTATAGTATTTTATTTATGCAACACATATATAATCATATATAGACATATAGATAAACAGAAAGCAGCTAGGTATCTCATGTATATATAAATATGTATCAATATGGCAAAAAAATACATAAATGATATACATATAATTATATGCATATAGACATGATATGTATATCTACATATATATATATATATATCTACATATATATATATATATAGGCTAGCATGGATCCCAGTGAATTCATGCTGTCCCAGGGCCTACCAAAGTGCCGACCTTGCTACCGGCAGCTCCTCGAGCGCAGGTGAGGGACACCAACAGATCCAGTGCTTCTATTCCCAGCTTTGGACCCACCATACCCCAAATGAACATATGATATATATATATATATTATATATATATATATATGTGTATAGGATTTTGCAATTTTGATACTTATTTTGTGTACCTTCATCTACGACCGACTTAGTAATTTTATATTGGAAAACACATATTATTGCAAATGAACACATTACGTATTGTCATCATTATATACAAAATGAGAATTGCGATGTTCTAATCACACCAAAAAAATATGTAGCATTTGTCATCAATATAATATAAGTATTTCCATATGGTTTCAACAGCTTGGACCCAAACCCTTCCGAGCCTCAGGCAGCCTGCTGAGGCTGGGATCACCTCAGGTGATTGGACGTCAAGATCCAGAGGAAAACGTGACAGATCAGCTTGTAGAATACAATCTATTTGTATATAATCATGTATAATCATGTATAATCTAGATTCGATTACACTGTACACCATTGTACACCTATATATATTAGCTATGTACAGAATTGTACAGAATTGTACAGATCAGACATCTCAAATCACATATATAAATACATGACCTGACACGACGGACCAAACTCATGATGTTCCACCCAGGAACTTGGAGATTTTTGGGCCAATTTCTTGCCAGGCAATATGCTGAAGCTGAGTCTCAGCTGAGCTTACGCGAGCGCTTGGACGTGTTTCTCGGCTGCTTTGAGGGGTGCCCGGGTGACCCATCAACAGGAAGTGACAGGAGGTACAGACATACCATGATATGATTATCACGATATGATACGTCAAAAGGTACACCATGATGCATCACGATTAATGCCACGTTTCGCAGTGGACGCACAGGTTTGGATCCCAGTAGACATCTCGAATTTAGAGGATTTGGTTGCCATTGCTTACCCCGGTTTGAAAACCACCAGGCATGGATATCCCAAATTTTGATGTTTTATCAATGTTGATCATGTTTTTCCCCTTAAACGAACCATTTTGGACCATTTTGGGGAATCCCTATTTGGATGGCTAAATCCTCCGTTTCTTCCTAGGCTGTGTCGCTTGCCGTCGTTGCACCCTTCAGTCCATGACGAACGCTTGAAACGCCTTGCACAGGAGGCATGGCATGACTGGACGGCAAAAAAATGACACGGTTCAAAGGGCTGGAAGAGGAGACCAGTTCTCTGGGTTTCCTATGTGTTCATACCAAGTTCTTCAAGTCGATTTTTTATTTGTCTCTTCATTCTCTTCCTTTTTTTTGGGCCAAGATCTCAAGAGATGATTTTGGGTTGACAGAAAAACCGCCAAGTTATCCCTGAAAACCACAGGTGCTGGCTCAACGCCATGACTTGCCCCTGAGTTCCTTGGTGGAAGTGACCAAGGTGCCCAGCGGCTGTGCAAAGCGGAGTTGGAGTAGATGAAGCCATTCATAGGTATCCATAATATGTTGGGTAATTTATGGTATGTCTATGGTATGTTTCTGGTGATTTATTGATATTTATGGTACTTTGTCCCGCACTTGTTCGGCTGTTCTCCCACGACTGATGCGGGGGTAATGCACTTGAATTGTTCAAAGTATCATTTGGTTGCTCAAATCGGAACGCGGCTTCTATGCCACCCCCAATTTCGAGGTGTGTCTTAGGACAGGTGTATACCACTAGACCAAAATATAAGGTATTTCAACAATTTTTAACAGAGAAAATGTTTGATAGACCGATAGACCACCAGATTTTGGGTGTCGTTTTCTATCCACTGCCGGATCAGGCCCTACAGCAGCTCGGTCTACGCGAGGCGAGGGTCAATGGACAATGATTTTGGATGTCCAGATTGTATACATCTACCCCATTGGGTTTTATATACCCATATATACCCTATATACCCACATTCCATTTCCGCTTTGCTCTAGATTTTGGTTGGGCCAGAAATGGGTCAACCCCAAAAGCCCAAAATGATCCGTGACCGCCGTGACCTCAAAGGAGTTGGAACCTTTGGTGTCGATGGCCACAGAAAGTGCCCACTTTCTGTCAGGCCAGGGACTCAAATCGTGGGATTGGGGGCAGCTTCCAGAGCGGTGGCTGTAACTTGCCCAGGGGAACCAGTCATGCGGGAATTCAACTGTAACCCAGGATGGATGCATCATCGTTCAGCTGGATTTTAATGCCTGTGAGGGTGTTGCTACAGGTACGTTTGATCATGACTGACATTGTGATATTTCTTTGTCTTTCTATATTTTAGGTTGTGTGAGCTAGAATTCATCTCAGGTTTAGTGCGGCGGGGAAACCACTCTGTGGAGGGCCCCCGAATGTTGGGATGTGCAGTTGGAATCTCATCAATTCATATATATATATAACTATAATTCATGCAGTCTCATCTTTGCATTCCGAGATGAAATGTCATTTTAGTGTGCACACTTTAATTGAACAATCACAGGTCATTGGAATGTTGCCATTGCCCCATCCAGCAGCTTGGACGGCAGGCGATGTGGTCCTATCTTTCGCCAGGACGTCCCTTTTTGTGTGACCGGTTGAAGAATTCACCCAGATGACAAGGCGACAGGTTAAACATCAACAGCTGTTCAAAAACATTACCAGTTTTGTTAGGAACAAACATCTACCAGGTTGTCAAGAACATCCCCGTTGTCTAAAGGTGCTTCGATATTCTTCGATTCATATAGTTTATCAGCCCCTCTTCAGCCATTGTCTGGAGGGCAATTTTGGCTCATGCAGATGGTTTTCAACATGTTTCATAAGTCTGAGCATGACGTGGACCATCTTTTTTGATCATCATATGGTTTTCATACGGTTTTCATATTCATACCGTTTTGCCTTTTAGTTGTACCACGGACTCTCGCCGCTGCGACTCGGTACGTGACTCGGAAAAGATGACAGCCTCGGCCTTGATGAAGATCATATTCCTGGTGATCCCACTGCACCTAGGATGGCAATGGTGTTCGATGTGTTGGCTTGGAGAAGATTCAATGGATTGACAGGACTCAATCGCATATGGAAAGAGCATGAGTCTGGGTCAAACACTGTGCTCAAGTGCTCAACCATTGCTGGATTTCATTCAATTTCAAACATGTATTGCGCTCGCAACAGCTAAGTCAGCTAAGTGGCAAGTGGACGATATCTCAACAGAGATTTTTCTAGCACTGGACCACGTTCCGCAAAGGTACATGGCTGATAAGACCAACAAGCTCTACCACATGTACGAGGACGCCACCTCGGCGGACGGTAACAAAGAACTCCTATGGATGGAGACAAAAACTGGTGTCATTGCTATATAGTACCATATGTATGTTACATCATATTACTATTATTTACAATTACTATTGTTTGGTCATTGTAGGGTGTATAGATCTTAACAATGACAAGTAGTTCATAGATGGAGTCTATTGCTTGTATTGTAGTGCCCCAGGACCTATTGCCACTATTTGGTGTGCATGCTGTCAATGCACTGGGGACGACAACAACATGGAAAGCCGGACACGGAACAAAAGCAACAGTTTGTCCATGAACATCGAGGATAACCCAAAAGGCACATTTTGATTTGGAATTGATGATCCAACATGGGGTTGGGATTTGTGGCTACCCTAGTTCAGACAAACTCACACATGCCTAAAATATCCCCCAATGCTGAGCAATCGAACTTTGAATGCATCTATCACAGTTTCACAGTAGACGGATGTAGACGGTGAGATTTGAGGGTTTGGGGTTCAAAACACTTCGAGAAAAGAACAATTTGTTCAATTTGCATTTATCCCTCACACCTGGGAATTTGCGAAACGATCTTGGCTCTGGATTAAAAGTTCGGTACAGAGAAAATCCACCGCTAGTATATAATCCATCTGGTTATTTAACATAGCCATGGAAGATCCACCATTTTTAAGTTCGGTAAACCATCTATTTTTATGGGCCATTTCCCATGGCCAACTGTTACATAACCAGAGGGCAATCGAGCTGTCCCAGGATGCCTCCTGCTGTCGCTTTTCCGAGCTTTTCCATCGAGCGGACTGGGAGGTGCCAATCGGAGGGGCCAACCCCGACAAGTGGAAGGGCATGCCTCTGGATTCAAGATACTTATATGTAATCTTATGTACAGTATATTTAACTATGACCATATATATCTCTATATATTATAATATATATATATATAATATATTATACATACATACATCATATATATATAATATACATATATTGCGTGAAGAGCTTAATGATAGTCAAATGGAATTTGATACAATTGCGCACATCGGTGCCTGCAAGCTTCTGACAGCAAGAGCAGAAGCCAAGCTTTACGTGACAGGACCACAAGACGCGAAAGCTCTTCATCTCTCGTGTTTTGGGTGTCTCCGTCTGCAATCGTTTGTGTGTCATTGGGTCCTAGCTGCCAACTATTACTCTTTGGTCAAGAGAAATGGCAATGGGAAATTGATGGAATTCCCTTAAAATCCCTTGGGTTTTGAATCCTTTGGTAAAAATCATGCTTAAATGAGGATGTCATGTCTCAAAATTTGGAACCCCATCACCCATCCTATGGTTTTTCAATATTATTGTCCATATCTCCATATCAACTATGTACAATTGTACCACCATACTAAAGCATAGATCCATGGCTTTCCATATTGACCAAGGCCACATTTTTATCCCCAAATCTCACCATCAAAACCGGACATCGTGGGGTCTCACGTTTTATAGGCGCCGAACGTCGCTTCTTCGCAGAAGCTGGGGTGGCCTTTGACCCAGACACCGGGATGACCTACGACGGACATGCCCTGGATGAAAGCACCGGCAACTTGGCACAGAGGGAATGGCATCTAGTTCCTGTACATTGTGGCACAAATAATAATATACACATGTATGTATAATATTACATAATTATATATATGTATATATATATAGTATCATATCCAACAATGAACAACACAACCAACCAACAACTACTGTATTTGTGTTGGCTTGAAAACTTTACTTGGAGGTTGGAGGTCGCCAATCTCTAATCTTCATAATGAGGACCTGCGATGGTTTGTTTCCGCCATTTTGAGTTTTTTGCTGCCGTATATTATATGATTCTTGCCGGATACAGTACTCGCACGGGTGTTTCATGGCTACATTTGGTTGGTGATGAATTCGTGGGCAAACGCACTCGAATCCCTCTTTGGTGACCCAACATGGGCTATCGCAAGTCTCGATAACTCATAGTTCATCAGATTTCCCTATTCTTGATACTATATTCTTGATATTTCTTGATATTTTTTCACCACATGGAGATGTCCCGAGATTTGAGGAGCCCCAACTCCCATGGGTTTTCCAATGACGAGACGCACACCGGGATCACCGGGTAGCTGCTCTGAGGTGAGTTGAAACGAGGTCCACCACCAGCAGGGCCCTTTGGCTTCAGTGCCGCCTCTAAGGTCCCGGGTCCCGGGGCTGGGATGAAACTCTGCGGTTCCAACTGTCATATCTGTCATGGTGAATAGATTGAAGATGATTGAAGTATAAGTATCCCCAAATAACATCAAATAACCAAGCTTCTTTGTGAATGATGATAATTTGATATAATTTATCCAATTAGATGTACTGATATGTACTGATGTTGATCGCCTGTTAAGCTTTGATTGATGATTGACGATGACACGAGATGACCAAGTCGCTGTTGGAGCTGTTTTTTGGAGTCTGCAGGCTTCAGAAGGTATGGCAATTCACTTTGTGCACGCATATATACACATTTTGATGTTACTTAGCTTTCGCACATTTCATGCTTGATTCAACGATGTTCTGTGTTATAGTCCGGAAAAACTGGGAGTTGGAAGCTTCGCAGAATTTGCATCCAAACTGATGATTACGAAACCAGACAGCCCGAAGTCACATGTTGATCCAACTTCGCCAAGGATGGGCTTACCAGCTTGATTCCATGTTTTTTTTCTGTTGCGGATGGAGCAGGAAGCGTTGCACGTCAGCCTGCTGGCACTGGCGGTGGAGAAGGAACAGGTTGGAGAAGGTGCCACTAAGGGCCATAAGGCAGAAGAAATAATCATATGAAACAATTGCAGTATGCAAACCAGATGGTAGATCTTCTATGACATTTTATGATATTTCATGGTACTTTAGGGCCATGAAAAGAGTGAAGGTATGGAGTGAGTGACATTTAGTGATATCAGTGATATGTATCATGTTTAATGGGCATTTGGGTGTAAACAGCGAATTCGATCTCCATCAATTCAGGTACGGCGAAGCTGATTTACAGCGAGGACGAAGCTTTGCAGCTTTTGGAAAAGAAGGCTGCGAATCTGGGCAGCTGCCCCATCAGTCCAATAGTTCTTGGGTTTATGGTTTGTGGATGTTTATGGATGTTTCTCCTGTTTATAGTAGGTATATCATGGTATATCGAAGTAGTTCATGAGGGGTTTTAACCAACTTATAACTGGAGGGTACCACCAGGCGCCTGTTCCGACTGGGAAGGGTCTTTGCTCCTGGGAATCCGTGGAATGCCACTGGTGGCGTTGCTGCTTGAGTTTTTGAACATTGCCACCAACATCAATTTAGATAGCCACACTATTTGTATGGATACTATCTCTTTATACTATATGATTGAGGATTCAGAGATTTGTACTGTCTCTTATGTACATTCTGTATTTGATTCTAAATTTCCTCATATTTGATAAAAACATATCCACCATGTATGGGTTTGTCTGAAAATGGGTTACCGAAATCCATAGGTTCATCATCATTTCCCCACATTGCAGATTGGGATTTAGCCCATTTTCAGACGCACCGGATAGTTCCCTCGAAAAAATCTAGAAAAATAATGAAACACATAAAACATAACCATTTTAGTAGAATTTTGAGTTTCTAACTTTTTGAGGGTTACTTGATATCAAGTTGCAGTATTTTGCGTCAGGTGAGCAGCATGGAGGCCATGGATGCTGCCGAACCCGGCTTTGGTGCCTTGGGTGTTGGACGGTTCAGTTGAGAGGGTTGGGGATGGTATCTGTCTAGCTATCTACCCATCTATCTTCGATTATATTATAATCTATAGATATATCTATCCATCAGTTGAGATTCTAATTTATCTCTTGATATATCTATATTAATAGTATCTTTATCGGTATGTGGTATCGATATGAATGTAGTTTTGTAGAAATGTTTGTAGTTTGTACGTATCTATGTATCCATGTATCCATGTATCCCTGTATCCGTGTATCCATGAATCCGTCCATGTATCCATGCATCCGCGTACCCATGCATCAATGTATCCACGTATCCATGTATCCGTGTATCCATGTATCCGTGTATGGGTGTATCCGTGTATCCATGTATCCACGTACCCGCGTATCCATGTATCCATGTATCCATGTATCCGTGTATCCGTGTATGGGTGTATCCGTATATCCATGTATCCGTGTATCCATGTATCCATGTATCTATCCGTTTTTCCATCTTTCCATCTTTCCATCTTTCAATCTTTCCATCTATCCATCATCTATCTATCCATCCATCCATCCGTCCATCCATCCATCCATCTCTATCTAATCTATTTGTCTACCTACCTATCTACCGATCGATCTATCTATCGATCTATCTATCTATGTATCTATCTATCTATCTATCTATCTCTCTATCTCTCTATCTCTCTAGAACTCTATCTATCTATTTGTATTATATACATACACACAATCATACATACGTACGTACGTACATACATGCATGCATGCATACATACGTACGTACGTACGTACGTACATACGTACATACGTACATACGTACGTATGTACCTACATACCTACGTACCTACGTACCTACGTACCTACATACCTACATACCTACATACATACCTACATACCTACATACCTACATACCACCTACATACCTACATACCACCTGCACACCTACATACCACCTACATACCACCTACATACCTACATACCACCTACATACCACCTACATACCACCTACATACCACCTACATACCACCTACATACCACCTACATACCACCTACATACCACCTACATACCACCTACCTACCTACCTACCTGCATGCCTGCATGCATGCATGCATGCATACATACATACATACATACATACATACATACATACATACATACATACACACACACACACTATATCTAGGTATAGGGGGTTGGGGATATCTGTGTCCTGTGATGGGGGTGACGGGAGGGTTGTTTTGTGCAGGTCTGGATTGATGGGTGATTGGGCCAAGGCCACCCCCTTGGCTGAACAGTTGATGTTGACCATAGATTTTTGGCATCCGAGTTTCAACCAGCAACCAGAAGATATGGGTCATGTATATTACCGGAAACGTCTGGAAACGAAGGTCATACCCTGGTTTAAAACCTCATGTTCCCAGTAGAAAAAGGCACAATTCTTGGTGATAAATCCCAGCATGTTGGGAGAAACCTATTTTACCATTTCTTGGTTGTATAAGTTCAATAAGTTCCATATCCCATACTATTCTCCCAAGGTATCCCCAATATATAATGATTTGGGGAATTTTAGGGATAACCTCCTGGGAAGCCATCCAAAACCCACCAATAACGTGGTTTGCCCAGGCGGCTTCCTGCCATGGTTTTGCTCTCGAGGAGTAAAACAGGGTCCAGGCGCAAGCTTTTAGGAGGAATGCGGGGTTTGGGGGAATAATTATATATATATATATATTATATACATGATTATATATATATATAGTTATAGGCGATTAAGTCTATTTTGTTCTGTATATGTATATAGATAGATAGATGGATAGGATAGGATAGGATAGGATAGGATAGGATAGATTAGATAGATAGATAGATAGATAGATAGATGGATAGATAGATAGAATTCTGTATACATATAAAATAGGTGCCTAGCACACCTAGATTTGGACGTAGGTAATCAGAATTAGCCATGCACGCTCACCATTTACATCAATGGTATCTTCGACCGTGCCACCTGGTTTCACCTGGTCAGATCGTCGCTGCTTGACCCCTCAAGAAGAGGCGCGGGGCGCGAGTTTCAAATACAGGGGAATTGATCTATATCAAGAAAGCTGTATGGAATCATGGATTCAAAATCCTGAATGAACTTCATCCATTTCGCATAACGTGGTAAACCCACTAATTAACCATCCATATCCCCAATTTGAGTGGAAATGAGTTGCATGAATTTGTTTAAACCATCCCCAAGTTGGAGGTTTCCCTATTGGGTTTACCACATTAGTCCCTCACTAACATCAAAATACCACCCTAAGCGCCCCAGTTTAGTCTTGAATCTATTTGGGAGTTTCCTAAAATGGGGGTACCCCAAAACCATGGGTTTCAATACTAAAATGGTCCAATGACTTGGATGATTGGGGGGTACCCCTATTTTAGGAAGCCACCATGTATTTGGGGGTCCATATCGGGGATGGGAGTGATAAGGATACCAGCCTTCGACAGCTGAAGAGCCTTGCTATGTCTTCGATCCATGATCCACGGCTGCCATTCCCTGCAACCAGGCAAGCACGCTGGGTGCCACCAACGACTTTGTGGGAAAGGCACTGCGAGCAGCAGAGTGGACGATTCGTGTCGGTAGATGGGTGGTCAGAATTACTGTAGACTTGCCGTCACGGGCAGTTTAGGACAAACATGACAAATTTTTGTGGGGTCTACTGCTACCCCAATTTTGATCCATTCCATCATTCCCATGTCTTCCAATCCCTGAAGAAAATGCAAGAAACGCATGGATCCGGTCAGTTTTCCAAGCATTTCGGCAGCTAACGGCTTGTCCATGAAGCTTATGTACTGTACCAACCACCATTTCTAGATGATTTTCCCATTAAAACCTCCATTTGGCTACGGCTGATTCCCAGAGGGTACCACATTTCTGTGCTGTGCATGTCAGGTGCCCGGTCTGGACAACGGACAGCTGGCTGCAATAGCGGTCATCATTTTGCCTGATGATCACTGATTGTTGGCATTGGGATGACTGCTATGACTGGGATATGACTGGGATTTGCGATCTCGGTCCCTGATACTTTGTGATGCCAGCATTGACCGTAGTATTATTGGAATTCTGGGTTGCCCGACCCCCAAACTTCAACACTTAAGGTCTTGTTACTAAAAGTTGCAAGGCTGGCAGTCCCCTTTTTTTGGAGTGTCTAAACTGATACCACCTGGGCCTTGTGGCCCCTGCAGTGGGTCCAAGGACAATTGGCGTGGGCAACTTACGCGGTGAGCAAAGTTCTTCGAAGCCGCGCACAGGAGGCGCTCAGCCGGCGCTGAGCAGTGATCACATTATTTTGAATCCATACTTTAATATTAATGATTAGTATTATACAGTATACAGTATACCATATAAATAGTAGTATAATACCATATTAACAATAGTATAATACAATATATATATATACCAATCTTTAGTGGGTAAAATCTGAATGTGTTTGTTGGCTTTTTGAGGTCACATTCACATTTTGTTTGGCAAAATCCTTAGCTTATGAATGTGTGTCGGTTGGGTAGTCCTCCTTTTCCTTTCCTAAATTCCGCATTATTCAGCTGAATCCCAGTTTTGTTGCTTGACACCCCTTTTTTGTTTGTCAATTCATCATGTTTGTTGGTTATATCTCAATCTTTCTTGGCAATCATCCAAATGTTCATGGATTAAATCCGAATCATTGATATGAGAATATTTCAACTATAATTGTATTACTCGTATTATTGTGTATACTACAATTTGATCCCAATGATTGGTGGTCCCACTCTCTGCTGATGTTTTTCCATCCCTTGGGCACGTGGAAACGTCGCAACGTCCAGGGCCCACGCTATGCCTCCCTGGCCACCCGCTGGGAGCAGCGGCTGCAGCGGATGCGCACCACGGCCGTTCCTCGTGGCGAATGGGATGGGCCCGGGTTAAGTCATGGAGGATCCCCAGTCACCATTGGGTTCAATACTAAGTCATGGTTTAGATATGTCTAGATGATTTGGGGGTACCCCCATTGGAAGCTCCATATGCTAGTGTGAATTAAAAGAATATAGTGTAATAGTAGTATATAGTAGTATTATACTATCATCAGTAAACATTACCTCTATCACTAGGCATATCCATGATTTGACAGTGATAGGAATTATATTGATATATGATCTACCGCTTTATACACTAGCAATACTTAATAGTGATAATTGACACTATTATATATATATATATGTATTGTTGATACTGCTGTGATAGTTGACAGTGATTATTATGGACCGTGTTATTAGCAATAATGATAGTGACAAGTGTAATAACAATAACCAGCATTTCAACAACAACCACCACATTAACTATCATATCAATAACAATGATAGCATTAATATTGATATCAACAACGACTTGTTATCATTATGATATGATATATACATAATCATGAGAAGTATACTGATAATTACTGTGGTTATGGTTGTTGTTATTCTGATTGCTATTGTTATTGCTACCATTGAAATACCCATGAAATCCCCAGGTGCCCATCTTCTACGCGGGCCGTGGGACTGGTGCCTTGCGTGCAGTGGCACGGATCAGGAGCGTAGATTTCTGGGGATCCAGAATCCAGGGAGGACATTGTTGTTTTGTGTTGTTTGGATGATATGATGATAGGATCACACTGTTATCATCTGTTATCATCTGTTATCTATACATTCAATTGTGATTTCTTAATGTGAGGCTAACTTGTTGTTTGCATGATTTTCCGATTTGCCAATTGGCAGGGCAGTGCTAGGCAGCTGCAGATTTCCCTCCCTTCTGTCGACTGTTGATCGACCGGTGGGGCCCCAAAAGGCTCAGGAAACCAACGGGATGCAGCCATACCCCAAACATGCTCCAGAAGCAGCTCGTAATGAGACCTTTTTGTTTGACAAGTTGCGCTTCATTTTCACTTACTAGCAACACTGGCTTTTGCAACTTTGGCCAACTGGCTTTCCTGTGCTGCCTTGCCTTGTCATGTTCACAGAGAAGGATTCATGGTATGAGCTCCACTGAGCAACAATTGACATCTTGAATGCATGGTCGCTCTCCCTTGCGCATCTGTGGGTTGCTATCGCTGTGGTTGCCCCCGGTGGGGCCGTCACCATCACTTTCATAACTCTCGAAGTGCCCACACTAGCGAAGATGCCAAACGCGAAGACCAAGATAGACTTCAATTGCATCCTTGAAGAGGTTCTTATAGCGGAAGAAACATACTGCAGCCAAAGTTTATGAACAATACGTTGAAATTATGAAGAAAATTGACGTGTAAAGTAAAATTGTAAATTTACCACCACAGGATAAGCACATGATTTGATGATGCCACAGACTTACCAATAGCATTAAGAATGCAGATGGTCACTTGAGCATATAATTCTGTGCTAACAGAACCATTCCCCACAGTTTCAGAGGCATATTCTTTTTAGTTTCCGGACTATATCCCCATAGTTCCCAAACCATATGTTTACTGCAACCGAACCAGATGCTGTTTCCGAACCATGGTTGACGAACCAGACGTCATCCATTTGTTTCCAATTTGCTGTCTTTTTGGGTAAATTATTGGTCTCTTCGTGGCTGTTCCACCAGGAATACCACACAGGATGCGCTGAATGCATCTGACTACGAAACCGCCGGGCTTCCTAGGGCCATTTGAGCCAAGGAGTGGAGCCAGGGGCAAAGAGATATACAGGAAACTGCTTAGTGGTTTCACGGATATGTGAATATGATATTATACTATATGATGTTAGTATATGTACGTAGACATTATATAATATTATAACATATTATATACACTTACATAATTATATATATATAAAGATGTATATACACACTCATTCCTTTCCCCTGCTTTGGGATGAATGATGGAGCCCCACTTGAGCAGTAGTTTTGGGACGAGGTGGGTCAGCACTCAGCACCAAGCCGCTAAAGCGATAGCTATTGATTGCTTGTGACCTCCATGAATCTCTACATGTGACTCATGGTGTCAGTAAACAACTATCGTACTGGCATGGCATACTGACTTTTTGAACACTATGCCACTCGGCACAATCTTGTTGGGCAGTTGTCTGCAAGTGGCATGGACATGTTGTAAGGCACTTGGTGCCAGGCTTTGTCATCACAGGTTCCCCGATGTGCTTGCCCTGAAGATGGACCATCTCAGGGTATCTTGTGAGTCGGGCGTTTCCAAACAAACACTCTTACAACATACATCAGATAAATTTTGCATCCCTCTCCGCTCTAGCACGACTTTGAGCAGCATGCACTCGCCACTCGAACCAGTGCGCAATAAATACTGTGGCTACCCAAATGGCAAATCGGCCCCTCCAGCAAGTGGTCCCATCCTTGCTGCTTGTGTCCCCACTATTGTTGTTAGTCAGCAGTCAGTCTAATAATTTATCCAAAAATATCCATATCCCCCAAATCAAATCAAACTTGGAAGGTTCATCAGATTCAGATTTCCCCAAATCACAGTCATTCTCCAATTCCATGGATATTCCATGGATATTCCATGGATATTCCATGGATACCGATGGGGAAGCCATGGGAAGCCATGGGAAGCCACCGAGGTGCCCTTGCATCCATCCTACTTGGACGACGCCTATGAAGGCGAACTTCTGGTGCTCTTCGTGGACCTGTTGGGAGCGCCTGGGCGAGTCAGTTTTTGTATCGAAATGTATATCTTGTATTTTTCTGTAAAAGATATATATATATATATATAGTCAGTTTTTCTACTAAATTACCTATATGTATTCCAAATTTGATCTGAATTATTAAAGAACCCTGACTTCTTCAGTTTAAGTCTTTGTTTTTTTGGAATTCAAAGCCTCTGTTTTGGGGGCGTGATAAGTCTGGCGAGTGGCAATTTAGACATGTTTCTATGGGGATGGGTCAAGTGAGCCAGAACTGGTCCTGGGGTCCTGGGCTTTCTCCTCAAAGTCGTGTTAAATCCATTTGGGTATGGGTCAATACCTATAGATACATTTTTAGGGGGATGAACATCCATTTACCAGCTATTTTGGGGTTCACTAGGTACCAGGGTTTTGACCCATCCCCATTTCAATCCTTCAGTTCCTTCAGTTCCTTCAGTTCCTTCAGTTCCTTCAGTTCCTTCATACGAAAATCTGTGGCAAGAACCTTGGTGCGGCAAAACTACATTAGCTACATGGTCAATGGCGGTTATTGATCAATTAGTACACAACCTCGTTATGTGCTCCGGGATATTGCCCGTGGGGTTTATCAGACAATTCAGCTGGGGTGACATGACAGACCTGAGGATTGGTCCAGCTATCCCAACAATGGAAAGGAAGAACGAAACAAGATGTGGGAGAGGACGGCTACTGCTTTCTGCACTTGGAATAGGTAATGTAGTTTAATGTAACATATATACATATACATACTACATACAAGTATATGAGTATATGGAGTATATGTATATAATATATACAGCATGATATACATGTGTATTCATAATAAATATATCTAGATATAGAATGTCACACACTACAGCATACTTGTTCTCGGCTTTTGAGATGGGCCTGGAGCGGATGAGTTTGAGTTCTATACATGTTTGATGGCTCACATTGCGAAGACTTATCCAACTGAGGGTTGCCCAAAACACCAACTGTTGCGATCTGTTGCTGGGCAGCCAATGTTTCTATGGTTCTATTCGCAGGAAGCAGATCCGTTTGAAGGCGGTCAACTTCACGAACCCAGATGATGACCGTGCCTTGGTGCCCACACTTCTGGGGGTAGATCCCCAAGGGAAAGAGGAATCCATGCAGCACAGGTAGTCAACCTGTAGTTCCCCTGTTGGAAGCCAAACAATGTTCGCTGCTGGATTGGTCGGGGTGCAGCCATCCCGGCCATCCCCCTTGATTTTATACATGTTGGATCGTGTGTGTACGAGTTGTCCTTGTTCATCCTTTTTCAATGTCCATTCAGCATTGTCATTTGAGTGGTTGAGCGTGGCATCGAGCAGCGAATGCACATGAGAAATTTCTGAGGGCAATATCTGTCTTTCTTATGACAGATGACATGGTCCCCCTATGTTTCATACATTCCAGGATCAACTCAAAGGACACTGTCCCCGTAGGTTGCAATGTTGCATACATTTAGAAAGATGTCATTTATCAACATATAACATCATATAACAGCGTGTCCCTTCATGGACGCAGACATTTTTTGCATACTTCAGGGGAGACAAATACACCCACCCAATCCTATGATTAAAACATCTTACAACACCTACCATGTCCAGACCAGCTTTCTAATAGACACTGTCCGCCCCTAGCATTCCTACATTATGAAACATGTGCAGCCCATCGACCAATGGCCATGGTCTGAGGCAAGATCACTGTGCAAGAAGGCTTTTGGTTCTCCAGCCACGAGTGACATGGACTGCAAGATTATGAAGCCTGTCTGGCAAATCCATTCTCAAATTGTTATACCTTGATCTACCTTTCACATATTTGGGACTGAAAATAGGGTACCCCCAAATTCAGATTCCCTAAGGATCATCATGATCGTTTTCCATATATTCCAATTAATATATGTCTTTTTTAGTCTGTCCTTATTCTCGCACAGATCGACTTGTACCATCAACATGTTTCATCCTCCTTGACGGACCGAGCCTTTCGGTTCTTTTTTTCGAACAAAAATGTTCACCTCTCTGGGAGCGGAGATGGGGCGATGAAAAACCCATGTGGGTAGATCAGCAACTGATTTCCCGGGTGGAAAGGGCTTGGTGATTTCTTGATGTTATATGTTACGTTCTTCCCGGATTGTGACGACGACGACGACGACGACGACGACGCCGCCGCCGCCGCCGACGACGACGACGACGACGACGATGAGGACGAGGACGAGGACGACGACGACGACGACGACGACGACGACGATGAGGACGATGAGGACGACGATGACGATGAGGACGATGACGATGACGACGATGACGACGACGACGACGATGACGACGATGAGGACGACGATGACGATGAGGACGATGACGATGACGATGACGATGATGACGATGATGATGATGACGATGATGATGATGCTGATGATGATGAGCCAAATTGGCCAATAGTTTCTTGATGGTTGATGCCACAAGCAAGTTCTTTTTTGAATATCATCCAGTTTTTGTCAGAATATGTATCTATCCCAAATGGCTGCAGTAGTTGTTGTTTTGGGCTGTTGAAAGTGGCTGAAGCAGTCTTGTCAGGCAATGGAAATTGATGGTGCTGCCTTATTTGGAGATCCCTTTGTTGAAGAAGGTCTTCACCAATTCGGAGTGCGCCAATTGGGGTGCCAGGAAGCAGCATGGCTATCGGTCGCGCAGTAGCTCAGATGAGTTCCTGCTTTGAAACATGCAGTCATTGCACATTTTGATCATCTTGGCTGTAGATCCACTTCGAGATTCCCGATGGTTTTCTGATTTTTGCGTTCCATGACAACCAATGTCACTGACAAAAGTGAAAAGCTGTCCAAATCTGGAAGTCTCACACGATCCATCCCATTGGATCATTCGCACGTGCCAGGTATGTCCGTGTGGTGAATTCCATCCAACTGCACATCCCAGGGCTGTTTGCTTCGAGCCATGCCCCCCCAGATGCCACTGGGCTGAAATGGAGTGGAGCAATAGGCAATAGTACGGCAATAGGGGAACCCAGGATGGTTTCATGGTTTCCCCTTTGGTTTTAAACATATTATTCAACACATCCCAGCATTAGAGGATTACTGTGAGCGACTTCCCTCGGGGGCAACGGTAAATCCAGCCACCTGGCTGTGCCACAGCCAGGTGGAATGTGGCAGACTTGGGGGGTACTGCAATGCTGTGGGCATTCAGGCGCTGTGAGATTTTCTGTTGCAAGGCGAATCACCAAAAGAACAATGGCTTTGGGGGTCTTACATGTTGACCTCATACTGTCTGTATATATTACATTAAATTTATTATATTATATTATATTATATTATATTCTATTATATTCTATTATATTATATTATATTATATTCAATACCCATCCCAAACCAGCAGATTAAATGTGGAGGTCGATTTATTTATTTATCTATTTTTTTTTCGCAGCAGGTTTCGTTTTTTTTGGATTCCTGGTTCTATGCTTTCCTGTTTCTCTGATTTTCTCCTTTTCTCCTTTTCTGCTTCTCTGCCTTTCTGCTTCTCTGCTTTTTGCTTTCCCTGCTTCTCTGCTTTTCCTGCTTCTCTGCTTTTCTGCTTTTTGCTTTTCCCGCTTCTTTGCTTTTCTGCTTCTCTGTTTTCCCTGCTTCTCTGCTTTTGTACTTCTGTGCCTTTCTACTTCTGCTATTCTACTTTTTCTTTTCTTCAGTCATGTGTTTTTGCTTGCTGCTCTACTTCCTGCTCCTTTGCTTCTTTGCTTCCTGTCTTTACTGTCTCTGTGCTTTTCATTTTCTTTTGCCTTTTTCTGTTCAAAGAAACCCTAAATAAATCCTGATAAGAAACCCTACATAAAGCCCTAAATGAACCCTAAAGAAACCATAAATGAAACCCTAAGAAACTTCAAATGACACCCTAAATGACATCCCAAAGAAACCCTTAGCTGAAACCCTAATTTGACACCCTAAAGAAACCCTAAATGAAACCCTAAATGAAACCCTAAATTGAAACCCTAAATGAAACCCGAAAGAAACCCTAAATGAAACCCTAAAGAAACCCTAAAGAAACCCTAAATGAAACCCTAAATGAAACCCTAAAGGAGCCCTAAAGGAACCCACTTGAACGTTGAGAAATCGTGAAAAGAAATCCTGATAAGAAACCCTGGAATGAAACCCTAAAGAACCCGAATGAAACCTTAAATTGAAACCCTAAATTGAAACTCTAAAGAAACCTTAAATGAAACCCTAAAGAACCCCCAAAGGAAACCCTAAAGAAACCCTGAAGAAACCCTAAATGAAACCCTAGAGAAGCCCTAAAAAACTCTAAATGAAACCCTAAAGAAACCTTAAATAAGACGCTAAATGAAGCCCAAACTGAAACCCTAAGTGAAACCCTAAATGAAACCCTAAACGAAACCCCAAAGAAACCCTAAATGAAACCCTAAAGAAGCCTTAAAGAAACCCATTTGAACGTTTAGAACTCCTGATAAGAAATCCCGATAAGAGACCCTACATGAAACCGGAAAAAACCCTAAATGAAATTCCAAAGAAATCCTAACCCAAAAGAAACCCTAAATGAAACCGTAAAGAAACCCTAAATGAAGCCCTAAATAAAACCCCAAATGAAGCCCTAAATAAAACCCTAAATGAAACCCTAAATGAAACCTTAAATGACACCCTAAATGAAAGCCAAAAGAACCCTCAAGAGACCCACATGAGCCTTTGAAGTACCAAAATGTAGCAAATACCATGCAAATGAGAAGTTGAAATGCCAAAATGTGACAACTACCATGCAAAATGGAAGGCGAACATGGCCAAATGTAGCAAATACCATGCAAAATGCAAAGTGACCATGCCAAAATGTAGCAAATACCATGCAAAATGACAGGTTCTAGTTCCAAACTGTTGCAAATACAAGGCAAATGGTACCAGGAAAGAATGGCAAAGAAAAATCCAAAACCTGAGGCAAACAAAAATACCAAAAACTATTCCACACCCATTAAATGTTGGCAAGTTGAAATTGTGTTGTGAAATCAGGAGGTCCCTCAACGCAAGCGAAATCAGGACTCAGCAAAACCATCGAAGGAAATCCGAAGGAAGCCCAGTTTGAATCCAAAAGAGGTCCATGATGTAGATATATATAGAGATTGTGCATCATTGTATAGAAATGTATTTTTCATATATTATACAATCATACATGCACATACACATACAAACATCATACATGCCCATATCGTATGCACGATGATTGGCCCATTCTTGGCCCCTCAAGATTTCTCTGTCAGGCGGTGGCATCGCAACCAGTCCATTGGGACCAGCAACTCGGTAGTTAGTCGACTGTCGGGGCTCTGAACGGCTACCGGCTGAGGAAGGTTTAGGCATGCTTAATTCCCTGTCTTCATGCCTGTATGTGGATAAATTCGGCTGAGATTTGAGTGAACTTCATGTATTCCATGGTGAAAATTGCAGTCGCCCCATCTGGAAAAGCATCTTTGCTTGCTTACTTGTATAGCTTGATTCCAGTTCTGACACTTCTGGCCTGCCTCTTGCAGGTACGTACATGTTGCATTTCTATCTCTTGCCATTCTCATCCCTGTTTGTCTCAAACGTATACATAAGAGGGCCTTCCTCTCTCTCTCTCTCTCCCCGAGCCGATGCCTTCCAGCAATGTGGTTGTCCCCACTGCGCCCCCTTCTTTTCAGTCGCTCCTCATCCTTCATCCCTAGACGCTCCCCTCACCCCTCTCCAGTCGGCCAATTACCTTGGTTCCTTTATCACCCCTCCTCTACTCCTGACGTCGACTTTCGGTCTTAAGCCTCCTCAGCCTTCAAGTCCGTTGATCTCTTCTTTCGACATCCTCTCATTTTCCCAAAAATTTAAGCTCCGGGTCTACACCCAAGTTGTCCAATCTATTCTCCTTCACAGATCAGAATCCCAAGTCTACTCTCCTGCCCAAATATCCAAGATTGACTCTCTCCACTATAAGGCTCTTCGCCAAATCTTCCAGATCAAAAGCACATTTTACCACCGGGTCTTACAACCCACTGACTCACCTTGCTCTAATGAATATTTACTCTCACTCGCATATCCAATCCTTCCTTCTTGCATTCCGTCTTCTATTCGCATTTTGGATTCTCGCATCAAATACCTCGGTCACATTTTTCGTCATCCTACTTCCTCTGATTTCCTTGTTTGCTTTAATAACTCGCGCTCCTTTAATTACTCCACTCTTTCATACTCTTTCTATACCCACTTCACCATTGTTGAATCAAAACAGTTTTCCTCCACAAGTATGAAACAATGGTATAATACCACCAATATAATATATATTCAAATCCTTCTCCCTCTTGCTGAAAACCGAGAACAATGGAAGACCATTACTCCCAAAATGAAATAGATGACCAGCAATGGGAATACTGCTGCGGACTTGTATAATAGTACCATCTGTACTGCATATCGCTTTCGAAAAACATACATACATGATCATACATGTATGTATACATGTATGTATACATATATATATATATACACATGACATATATATATATATACATGATCATATATATATGTTTCTGATTATATATATATATATGATTCTATATATATATATGTATGATTCTGATTATATATATGATTATATATATATATGTATGACTATATATATATATATATGATTGTATATATATGGTTATATATACGCGTATATATATATATATACACATACACGTACATATTTGTAATATTAGTATATTTTTGGTAGCATCCATCCAGTCACAATCTGCATGCCAACAAACCCAGGAGTGTTTCCCCCTACGGCGCGTATCCTGTCGGGGCCTCAACAGATAGCAGTGGCGGGATCAATGCGCAGCTGCTGGGGTGATCTGAAACATCAAGGGATTGACCTTAAGATTTCTTAAGGGAGAATTCAACCGACACCATATGTTTTTACCATCAAACATAGATTTAAAGTATTTTAAAGTGATGTTAGCCTGAGCAAAAGTTCTTAGATTTGAGGGATCGTCTAGATCTCCCAAGCAGCTGATCCGTTTATGACGAGTTTCAGCCTGATACAAGAGGCAACTTTACGGTGGACTAGGGGACATGAGGTCGCTGTGCATGAGTAGTGCTCAGTTTATGGAATGCAAAAGAATGAACAAGCATCTGTGCATTTTTTTGTGTATGTACAATTATACATACCTTGCTGTTTACCTTGGTCATCCTTGGTCCATGTATACAGTTTTTGTTGTATATCTAGGCAGTCTGTATTCCACAGACAGAATAAGTCGACATTTTATATGTAGTACATATAAAATACTGTAGACGCAATCTATAGACTATAGACAGTGCCACTCAAACCTGAGATATGTCGCATGCCTGGGGCAAGGTGATGTTGGTGGATCTGCCATCAGGTCTGGCATGGCAACTTGGCGTTGATGAGAATCAGCAATACATGGAGGTCGGTTTAGATGTTCGGATAATAACCATTTGGAGATCCATATTATTTGGAGATCGGTTGATGCCAAGATTTATTTGGTTAGCCATTCAACCTTTTTTGTTCAATCTTCGTTTATCATAATGTTTTTCGAGATCTGCGCTGATGTAACCAAGAAAGATAGGCAGCGATGAACATACTTAGAAGGTAATGCAGAAAACGGGAACGCCAGGGTCCCCTGTTCCATGATTCTACTGCTTGACATTTTCCGGCTGGCATGGAAAGTTCCTCGAATTCCATACTTTTCCCGGGCGTTTGAGCAGTTCCAACCACGGGCTAGCTCCAGCCCCAACTGTGAACCATGTTTCCCAGGTGTCCAAGCGTAAATCTTGGGGTGCCTACTACCCTGGAATGGATTTTGAATGATTTTGAGTTGGACATGCCTTTGAGGCTTCCAAAATTCACCAAAATGCTTCAACGAAGATGGGGGAATCCAGATTTGAGCAGGTACAACACCATGTTGTCGCTTCCGAAAATGCAGACCGTGTCCTGGCTGAGTTGACGCCAGCGAAGGTGGTGGGCAAAAGGAACACCAGTCATCATGATATTCAGAGACTAACCACCAGTCTGTTTAAAACATCCTCAAAAAATGGACAACCACAAAGGGCTAAACTTTGCCCACAGGTTTGCGGGGATATTCAGCTGTGGGTGTGGTCGCACACAAAAAGTGTGGGTGTAGGGCCAATCTGATCCAATATATATATATATAGAATTATATAGACATATATAGACCGATACATCAGAAAGCACTGAGTTTTTGGGCTTGTAGCTTCAGCTATGGCCATCCTGAAAAAACCAAAAAATGACCTTGTGCTGCGTAGTCAGACTGGGATAACTGATAGCTTTGATAACATACCCATCCAGGAATAATTATGAGCTTGGACCCAAAGAAGATCCATATTGTGGGCTGTATCCAATGTGACACCTTGATGTGTTGCACAAAAACACGGTTGTGCACTCCGTGGCCCTGGGCCCAAGACCATGCTCCGCCAAACGCTACATCCGGAGATATGGTTCTGGGTCAAAAGGTGGTACCCCTGATGAGCTCCTCCGAAAAACGACAGAATTGTCTTGGAGTCCCAAAAGATTACACGCTTATCTAACTTCTACAAGCTTGATTTTGAGTCACTAATATATATATATATATATAAATAGAGGTATACACGTATATATAATTATATTGTATATATAATTATAAAATTATATATAATCATATAATGATATGTGTATATATATATATAATCACTATGTGTTACCATGACATTTCTTGGGCTCCATAGGACTCCAGGAGGTCACAACAACTGTCAAGGTGACTGGCAGTGTTGAAGCCGCACGAGTTGATGGGACCTCTGTGGTTCCCTGGCCGCAACAAACTGGGCCCAGGATATTTGAAAAAACATATGAAAAATTAAGGAAACATGAAGCATATATACATATATATATTATATATATATATTATACATATATATATATATTATATATATTATATATATATTATATATATATTATATATATATATGGACCTTGACTTAGTGTCCACTCATATCAGTCATGTTTTTGCAAAGTCGATCATGACTTGGTCGAATCATCTGAATGTTGGTGGACAGAAGTGTGTAAATGCTGCTTGACCTCCAAATCCAATGGGTTTCCCTGCAGCATGACTGGACTGATTTTGGTTGAACTTATTTTGTTTGCTTGGTGAGACAACATTTTAGCACCACTTGCATACCGCATATTCGAGTGTCTAAGGATTGCCTTCAGATTTACATATAAAGCATCTATGTATACGTACGCTGTGTGATCTTCCTTCCATTTCAACTTCAGGACTAATAATTGGTTTCCATGTACACTGACTCTGGATGAATCCTTTTGGTGTTTCGAAGCGTTGTCCTCTTTTCAAAGATGGACGGAGAATTCCGATTTGACAATCATTTTCTTATAGCCAATTAGGGTAGGCTTATACAATGTTATACATCCCAGTATAGTATATCCCCATATCCCATTATATCCTAAGGTTATATATATATATATGAATTATATAATATATACTATATATATACACACTGTATACATATCTATCCTAAGTTTATTAATCCCATCCCAGTTATATCTCCATCAGAACCTGCGCCTTGCGCGCAGCTAGGCATCCATCTTAACCTGGGACACGAAGGTCACATCGGTGTCATCCTAAGTGACACGGGCTGACGGCTGCCCAGAAATGGGGAATGTATCAATACATCAATACTGGAGGATTATAGTGGATTATGATGGATCATAATGGATTATGATAATCATGATGGATTACGTTATGATTATAATAAGAGGAATATGTACTGTAGTTTTTGGGGATGGGATAGGGGTATGGCTCACATTTTTCATGGAGAAACATGGCCATTTTGATGAGACAATGATAATAACCCTTGGGGGTGCCCAATTTTTGTAAGAACCTATATAATCGTTTGTGGAGTTCTGAAATTTGAGCAGCCCATAAGATATACTTAGACCAAGATCATCTGACATTGGGTTTCAGATATTCAAGACTGATACATGGGCATGCAAATCACCAACAGGACAAAATCAAGAAAACTGTTCGGTGGTTTCCAATTGTCTTCCCCGTCAACATGACAAATACCATTGTGACAGGTGACTAAACAAACCAGCAGCCGGGAATCCTGAGGTTGTTGCCATGTTGAGAGGGACCGGACCGTTGATCAGCAAATTGCTTAAGGAGGACCGCGGGGGCAGGTCAGGTGGGAATTCATGTTGCAGGAGATGGTTGAAGTTGAACGGATTTGGTTGTTTTTATAATATCAAACTATATGTTAAACTATAGACAACTATAGTACATGCATAATATACACCAGTATATATATATATGTATATACACACGGACACACATATTGATAGAATTGATAGATCATACACAATACTTACATGGAGAAGGAACCGATCTACTTTGCATTTCCACCGCAGGATGGCTTGAGCGAGCAATTCCAGGACCTCATGGTCGGTGGTGGAAAGTGATGGTTGGCGATGAAGCACCAAGACATTTTGAGTTTGTCGCATTATATATATATATTTATATAGTAATATAAGTTTAATATAGGAACGTATATGCATATAGGATTATGATGGTAATGTAGGAATATAATGGGAGCATGACTTGTCCACGTTTTGCTTGGAGCGGGACATACTGAGCATCCAGATGGGTTAACACCGCAGGAACGTGTAAGCGGGCGCCTTAGATGTGGACTGGAGGAAGCACCGTGAGCAATGCCCAAAATCCTTGGTGGTTGAGGGTGACTTTTATTATTGTGCAGGCTAATATTCAATGGAGATGATTATGAATGTGATGAATGTATATGTGTATATGTATAATCAATTATACTTATATGTATAAATTATATATATATATGTATACTTCTGGATGTGCTACATGGAATCCCCGCCCTCCCACCAGTAGCAAGGGATCATGGTTTTGCGATTGAGCACCCTTCAAATGGGGATGGGTCAATAGCTGTGGGCAATCGCCAGTGCCTAATCATGGAATCCCATCATAGACCTGGTGGAAAAAGGAGTACCCTTGGTGGCTTCCAACGTCTCTTGCATCCCTTTGGGAGATGACCCATGATATCCTTGGTTGAGACTACCAAAGAGATAACCTCAAGCTTTGCCTCCTGGTTCCGAGGCACTTTCTACGGGGAGAAGTTTTCCCTGGCCATGTCTTCCGCTCCAGGCAGATGGGCTGGACTCGGTGAGAAGCAAGGACAACCACAATAAACAAGGAGCAACAATGCAAAAGTTGTGGTATCAGTTGGATGATGATGATGATGATGATGATGATGATGATGATGATGATGATGGCTATGACTATGACAATGAATATGAAATGAGTACGGCTGGCGAATGCATTGCGCTTGTTTTTTTGATCCCATGGTTGATGTTTGGGACCAACCTATCAATGATCGATGATTTGTTGCAACGACCTCCGAAACAGGGGCCGACAAGTATCCAATTATATATTGCCGTGCAGGGGTGGGCCTTTCAATGTTTTGGACATTTGACATTGGTCGAAAAAAAGTTGAGACTCTCCAAATCACAACACGTTTTGCTGATTTCTGGTATTAACATCTGTTAACTAACCATCCAATACTTTTGGGTTAATTTTTTGACCCAATCTCGTTGATGGCTGCTTGAACTCTGAGACTCTGTATGTCAAATGCCAAGGTCAGCATTTGCCAAAGCCCCCGCCGCAGCTCCTGCCGTCACATTGGGCAGAGAGGAGTGCAGCGTATCTTGGCGGGTGGCACATAAGGCATGAGGGTTAGACAGGAGAACCCATTGAAGGGATAACGTGTGCTTTGTAATTCAGTGGTTCAATAAAACTACATGCGGTTTTTGACACAAACGTTGACGTCAGTGAAGTTTCTTTGCAATAAGGAGGTGTGGCATGTGTGAAGCAACCGTTCTGAACACTAAAACTTGCTCGCACAGACATAGCGATCCTGAACTGCAGTGCCTTTTAGTCCCAGCAGGTTTGAGACTGGCCGCAGTCATTTTATTTCCGTCCTGTGCGGCATCCATTTTTTTCTATGGGGCGCTTCACATTTTTTTAATACATTTGGGGCTTGGTAATAGCGGCTGCATTTCTCATCCCAGGTTTCCAAGTTGTCGCAGGGAAACTCAGTCGTCTCAGGATGCTCTTTTTACATTGCCGGACAAAGCACAAAACCTGAAATATGGTGATTAATCAACAGGCCCCCTCCAATTTTCTCTTCTTTTGTGATTGATTCCTCAGTAGTTGGTCTTTTTGGTTTAGGCAGAACACAATTTTTCAGTTGCCAATTGCCAACTGAGAATCTTACCTGGCAGAATATTCTCTGGCCATTCCAAAACGGCTCATTCCAAGCCAGGAAAATGCATAGATATATAGATCTAGTGAATCTTGTGAGGCTCAACCTTCAAGAAGACGGCCATGCTGGACTCATCCACCAGGGATGTTCAGTGGGATGTTCTCTGAAAACCAGATCCACTAAGAATAGCTGCAGGAGAGAGCGGTTGGCAGTTGGCCGGTTACCATCGGTTACCCATGGTTCCTAACTTCCCGGACTATCCGTTCAGTAGTTCTACCTATATAGTTTTACTATGTTTTACTATGTTTTACTAGCAACATCAAAGCTCAACAGAGGTTTCTGACTTGCAAAGTTAGAATACTAAGCCATTCAAGGCCAACACCCTTTCTCGATTAAGAGTTGGAACCGGAACTGACACCTAGCTTCGCATCCCAACTGCTCACTCCTCCAGTTGGGATTATGTGATATTGTTTGTAGATGTCTAGATCACAGTATACCACTCATTGTTGGGAACGGTTTCTATTGGGTTTCCTACGATAGAGCCCCTGTTGCAACGAGCACTTTTCAGGTTGCGACCTCGTCAATGGAACTCGGAGGTGGTCTCAACTTGAATCTGTCGGGTGGAGTATGGTGGAGGTTAGGGGTCAGTCAGCTACTCTATGATACTTTGGATGTTCCACACGCCAGTAGAATTATACATTTGGGTGAAAATCTCAGCATTTCATTCGACGTACTCCCGATGGAAAAAAGTGCCATCAGAGCCATATACTAAAGTTATTTTGTATCAGTTAGACATTTCCACAACACGTCAGTAGGGGGTAGTCAGAGCTCACAAATGGTCCATTTTGATCTTTCATGCTTAACATGACATTCTTACATAATCAGAGCATTTGTAGAGGGTAGTTTACGAACATTCATGGGTGCGATTGCTGCAGGCTGTCGGAAAGCCTCATCGTATAGAAAGGTGCCGAAAGAGAGAGATAGTGGAGTGAGGTCCAGTGAACGAACCCTTGATACCCCTGGAAAAGAGAACGATGCCACAATCTGACTGACAAAAGTCGTGGAGATCATCAGGAAATCTGTTTTTGTTCAATGTTTGCAATCAAGAATATCAAGAATGTGGGCCCAAGTTGAAGACCACAGATTGTTTTTTCTTATTAGGAATATTGAAAGCAAAATGACCAACAACCGTAGACACCACAGGAACATGATCTTCAGATGATCGTGGATTCCCGCATTTGCCTCTCATCAATGTTATGACACATACACAGATGTGAGTCAGTTCATGTCATCCCTATAGTGCAAAAAGGTTGAGATATTTGGTAGCCATGTCCACAGCTCTGTACCACCAGACTCCGAATCACCTCGCTTTGTACCCCTACCATGACTCAGACGCGAATACATCATACACAAAACACTGGCGTCACAGATTACTACGGTTACTGTATACACGCTGTACATATACTGATATTATATATACAGATTTTATTGCACATATTCTCTCACCTTTCATGAGATCCCACTTCGCGAGCATAATTTTCATGTTGAAATCACCAAAGTATGTAATTGCAGGAAAAGTACCCAATAGTTGCCATCAGTTTGCGAGGCACTTCCGCTTGCGATGAAGAGCAGATTGCGGAAATTGATGGATCCTTTTTGAAAGAAAGATCCGGCAGACCAGGTGAATTAACATCCGTCATCACTGACCATACTCGTAGCACCTGCTGAATGGAACTCAGGAATAGCACAATCATAAGCCCAGAGTTTGGTTGGGTGCCTTTTCTCGACACCGTTTTGCGGCTTGATACATCGAAACATTTTGATACTCTGGTGAGAAACAAGCGCGTATCGATTCTAAAACTACATACGAATAGCAAAAATGTGCAATCCTGCATGAATGACTTGCACTTCACAGCTTCCTGTTGTTAGTCATTTTGCCGACGCAGTGATGTAGGTCCAAGTCTACTTGATTTTTTCTGCTAGTTTTTTCTTATTGTTATTCGAGCTTGGAAAGTACTTTGTATTTGCCCAATTTTAAGGTCACTGCAACAGACGTGCTAATTACATAGGATTTTTCTACTGTCACAACTTGACTTGACACCATTTTCGGAGCTTC